AGCCCTGACAGTAATCCTCCAAAGCCTCTACTGCCTGCACACATTTTCAAAGCTGACCCTGCTTTAGTTCAAAACATTTTTTTTAAGTTAATTTTTTCTTTCACCCCTTTTGCTCTTTTAAAAAACTTCCTACATATTGTGCAATGATGAAATTGGAGTCACATTCACTAGTAATTAAGTTATCATAAACCCAACGTCCTAGATTATTGAACCAGTGTCAAAGCACCAAGATCATGTGTTTTTTCTCTCTGATTTTTATGATTGCTCTATTTACTTTATTTCTCAACATCAGATTATGAAAATATGACTATCTTTACTTGATATACAATCATTGCTTTTTAAATAAAAACGGAATGGTATCCTCTAATTGCATTGTTTATTTTCTTTTCCTTCTCAAAGATCTGCAAAAAAGTACTGACCTTTAACACAATTCATTTTGACCTTTCAGTTCAACTGAATGATCCACTATGAATTTTTATTATTCTTTCCATTTATTATTCTAAATGTCCTTGAGCTGTCATTTTGATAACTTATGACACTGAATAAGCATTTTAGAAAGATGAGTCAATTTGGGAAATATATTCTATAAACAAACAAGTAAAAAAACAAAATATGTGCAACAATTTCAATTGCCAACAGACAATTTGTACAAGCCCTGTTTGTATGGTTTCAGTTCACTCTGGCTCAGTATCAGCTCATACATAGACTTCTCAGCTGGAGAAGTCTGTGTGCATGGGGGCAATGTTGTGATCAAAAGCTGCATACTGGGAGTCGCCAGAACTGGCTAGTTTAAGTTGATGTGCGGCATGAGAGAGCTGGAAAGCAGCATCTGGATGGGCTGAGTCAGGCAGCATGGTGCACTCCCTCTCCAGCAGTTCGGCCACACCCTTCAGGAGCTCCCAAAAACCAAAAGCCAAGGCAGCTTTCCGCAGACGATTTAGCTCCTAATGGAATTAAAAACAGAAATTGGATGTTTTACTTGTGTTTAGAAAAAAATAAATACATTTCTACATTTTTTTTAAATAATTTGTGCTAAACCTACCTTATAGAAGGTCTGAGTTTTATCAGGTAATTTCCTTGCATTCCTCAAGATCTTCTGAACATCAGTCTGTATGATGACAAAAAACTAGTTAAAAAATTGACAACTATTTAACATATACAAAACATGTTTTTTTAAATAATTAAATCTTGAATCTCACTACCCATGAGGATCATTTTTAACAATGAACAACTGTAGTTTTAGTTTCCACTTTGTTGGACTTTTAGGTTATAATCCATAACACACTATTTGTCAGATGTGAGCAGTGAACAGATTGTTTTAGCTGTGTTTTCACTGTACCTGCAGTCCACTGGCTTTTATCCACACGGTGACATTCTGAGCATAGCTTCGCTTGACCTGTGGCTGCACAGGGAACGGACTTTTACTGTCATCCTCGCCGTACGGATTTTCAGCAGCCTCTGTAACACGAGAAAGATGGCTGTGCATCAGAGGAAAGTCAGTCAATCCGTATCATTACAATCGGAATAGAACACGGAGTAATCATTAACTGATGTACACAAATAAAAGACCTTTGATCTGCAGGACAACAGTGTCCCATACAAGCATTGGGGAATTGTATGCTTATTCAAATTGCACAAGAATTCAAAAAGATCTCTAGGTCACAAGAACCCTAAATATGCAGCAAACTGATGTCTTTGAAGTAAGATGTTACCTGAAACTGGTCCCAGATGTGAAATCTTGCCTAGCCAAGGTAGAGGATCGGAACCAGGCTCAAACATCGACATCATCAGGTTTGACTTCTTCTTGCTGTCTGCTTGGGAGTACAACATGCCGAACCACTCCGGCCTGGGATCAAAGCAGGACAGTCACTGAACTAAGAGATCATTCACAAAAATGAACTTGATGTCCAGATGAATGTAGAGCATGCCATGTATATCAGCTGTTACTGCTCACCCTAGTTGGACCAGAGCTATCATCCCCTCAACCTTTAGACTTCCATGTAAAAGAACACAAAAATTTGGGCTTTTCCCAGCCATTTGGCTCGCTGAAGGTTCCTCTTCAAGTTCTTCAGTGGTTCCTGTGCCAACTTCATCCACTTCTGAAATTAGGTGCAAATATTTGTTACAACACATACAAATCAAGAATTCAACTTTTTATTGTTGATGCTATGCTGCTCCACAAGTCATTCTCAAAAAACAAAAACAAACCTTTGTTAACAGCAATGGGAAGAACCAAGTGTCTGGATATTACAGGAGGGCTGGAGATGTCAGCAATTTCAATGAAGCCCACAATTTCCAAATCTGAAACAAAAAAAATATATATAACCCATGTGAAGATTTATTTCATAATGAAAAAATGTTTAAATGATTTTCAATCCCTGATAAGTACCTGTGCTGACTGCTTTGGGAACAGGCTCCACCTCCTCGTCCACTACCACTGGCTCAGGACGGGGGAACACCTGAACGTCTGAAGACAGATTCCCACAGTGCAGAACTGCGTGAAAGGGGGAGTACGCCCGATCAATCAGCGTCCTGGAGGAATGAAAATGACAGGGTAAAAAAAATATGCATCATTAAGCTTAGAAATAAATGAATGAACAACTCTTATAATCAGCTCAACCTTACCCAAACATTGCTTGTACACTCTTCATGCAAAGTGGTCCATCCACAGTGAAGATCTGTCCATCCCCTCCACTGAGATGAAGGAGCTCCTCCAGGTTTTCCATGGCATCAGTCATTTGCAACTTAAATAACACAAAACAAGTGCTCATTATTGGAACTATCAAATAGAATACTGAAATGTAACACAAGATGATCTTGAGTTGCAAACAAGTTGTATAACAAACGGGTTGATACAATTATGTATAAAATTCTAAAATTATTTGCAAGGGGGAAAAACAGTGATAGATTATGGGAAATTAGACTTAAATTACAACATGATTCTTCCAGCTCTATTACATTTGGCCATGTATCGCCACAGAATTGGACTGAGTGACTGATTTGAAATCAAGGTAGAATGCCAACAGAAATGTGGATTGCCGTACCTCCTCTGCATTGGCTACACAAAGGATGAACATTTTGGTGGGGAATGGGTAGGGGAGAGGAAACTTTTTGTCATCACCACGATGTTTCAGGGTTTGAAGAGAGTGGCGTAGGGAACCCTTTCCAATCCCAAGAGATCCGTCTGTAACCAACACCACCTACAGGACAAAAGAGGGAAATGTATAACCATGAGCATCTAAGGAGGAGGTATTACTGAAAGCAGGAAAACAAAGTGAAAGAGTAAAAATAAAAGGTCTGCTTCAAACTCACAACCTGAAAAATTGTCATACTGAACTTAATGTAATTACATAGTATGCAAGTGTGATAGTTACTGGAAGCAAGATTAGTTTGAAAAACTTGAAATGCAATTTTATATAAAGATACCCTAGAGATTTATGAAAGTGGAAGGAATAGCAGTTACTTTAAAAATGACAAATTACGCTTCAAGGGCTGTCTGGGATTCTTTTGTTTATTTTTTTGTTTATTTTAATGGCTCTTGGATATGCGGGGTACAACTGAAACGGTGCAACTTGGAATCAAAGTTTCACAGGTAGGAATCAACTAAAGAAGACTAGTGGAGTCTTCTTTCAATCACATGGGTAAATCATTTTTCCCATTAACATATTTTTTCAATTTAAAAAAAATCTGAAAACGTTTCCTACTGGAGAGATCAAATTTACTGGAGAAAATTGTACGTTGTACCGAATATGTACAAATGAATGACATAGAAAACCTCCCGACTGACCACAACTACTGTTAGGAATCAACCTAATAAACAAAGAGAATTGCTGAATACCTGACAGGGACAGCCATTGCCCCACTCCTGCTGAACAACACTACTAACTCCTTGTAGAGCCAGTTCAAGACATGTTTTGTCATAGTCTTCCAAGTTACTAAGTGCCTCCTGCAAACAAAAACATAGACAAACTATTTTAATTCTTTAGGTATATTGTGCTTTGACTTTACAGGCAGAAACTGATGTTACCTGTAACGCATTGTAATCCCTAGTGAAAGGCACCAGCAGCTCCCAGAGGGAGGAGAATGCCATCAGTGCGGTGAACTCCAAGCGATAGTTGGAAGCCATGTGTTCAAACAGCATGTTGAGTCCGTGGACAGCCAGGTTCTTCCTCTGGAACTCCTCGATACCATCCAGGGACACTGGTCGTGTCATGGACAGTGACACGTCCATTAAAACCACTGTAGGCATTGCTGTTCACGCAGATCCGATGTCCACAATAAAACAGTAGATTTAAAACTGCTTACAACCGTCCGATTTACGGCTTTACAGCAAAACAGTGAAAATCACCAAGATTTAATTAGAAAAAAACCCGTCAATAATGGCGTTTGAAACTTAATTATACAGGTTAGTACAGGCTAACAAAAGCTAGTTTGTTAGCCTCCTGCAATGTAGCAGCTAAAAGCAAGAAACCTTCCCGATATTATTAATCAAATGTAAAAGGATAAATATCCATGAGTAAAAAAGCGGCGAGAAATTCATGTATGAAAAATAAAAACGACTAAAACTTTCTAGTCGTTTTTGTTGTTTAGCTTGCGTTGCATTATAAGTGCACCAACAATTCCGTCCGACAAACAACTTGTAAATGTATAGTTCCTATGTAATCTAAAATGTGTGAAATTACAACGATCGAACAGGAAACACCTATTTAGAACCGAACTAAAAAAATATCTACAGATATAAAATATAAAATGAAAAAAAAATATTCTAATTTTTGTCTTTTCTAACTCCTATTTTATATCCACTTTTGTTAGATTGGTGTGTTTGATGCACCATGGAGATAAATGATCACAAATCTGACCTTTAATTACAGATTTTAGATTTGTGTAATATTTGCGAATTTTATTTCTTATTAAAACTTGCTTGTATTGTATTTGGTTCTGATCGAAGTTTGTCCCGCCTTCTGGGAACACTCTTACAAAATACACAAAAACATCACGCTAGATAAAAATCATCACGCACGAAAAAAATCTTATGGACTTCCTGTTGGTGAATCCTGTTTTTGTTTTTTTCTGTTTTTGATTCGGTAAAGACAAACTTTGCAGAGGTACGAAGGAACTGCCAGAACCCACTCGGCAACACGGTAAGAGGCAGTGACATTTAGATCTGTTCAAAACGTCTCACTTTTTGTACTGCATATATAACGCCCATAGAGTTAAAGACTATTTTAACTACGAAATCTCCTAAAGTGTTTTTTTTTTTTTTGTCCTTTTATGAATAATCTGAAAAGTTGTTTGAATGTCTTCCTTGATTTTGTAATCTGAAGAATAGAGGAAAAACGTAAGTCTGTGCACATTTTCTTTTCAAGTATTGGGATTTTAAAGCTCATTAAATATTATTATTATTATCCCTATAAATATATGTAACATTTCTGTAGATGTGAAGTTTGTTCAAATTGGTTTACTTATTATTCAAAACCATTTTATTTAGACAAATAGATATTTTTTTCCACCTGATATTTTAAGCTGCTCTTGACAGTTTGTCACCATAGCACCAGATCGGCTCGTCCTCTTTTTCTGTTGCCGTCTGTAACTGCAGCATGGATTAAGATCAGCTCTGTTTTCTTTGCGATGCTTACATTTCAACATATTTTAGACTAATTTGATTATGAACAGGTTTTTAGTTGATGTGTAATTCTGCCATGTTTTGTATGTGTTGTTAACTGTTAACGTAATTAATGTGCATTGAAGCTGTGCTTAATTTCTGTCATCTGCTGTTAACTGTTCATTGGGAACCTTTGCTCTGTAATTTGTTTAGGGTTATGCTGTTTAATGCAGAGTTTGATTCAGAGTTCTCTATTTTTCATTAAAGGGAAAAAGCTTAAGAGATTTAAACTGTTTTATTGAGTTTAAATGCTTGCAGAAAAACTAAATTTCATCTTGACTTGCTATCAAACTGTTAATTGAATTGAGACTTTGTCTTCTTTACAAACAGGTTTGCCTAAGGCATAAAGACCCATACCCAAATCAGACAACAGGAGCTGTGCATCTTTTAACTCCAGGGATTTATTAAATACTTTTTTTTTTTTTTTTTTTTTTGGAGCTCAGAAAGTGAATCTGCTTTTAGCACAAGATGGAGTCTACAAGATGTAGGTCTCAGCAGCTGATTGTTTTTGCTGTTGTCTTCCTTGGTGCCCTTCAAAATTGGATTGTTGGTGCTGACCTCACTTTTACTTTGCCTGACAGTGTAGACAATTTTGAAAAGATCACAGATCGCTCAACGGGGGAATTTTCTGTTCAACATTCTACATATTCAGCTCCATATAAAGAAGGACCTGAACATAAATCTTCGTTTTTGGATCCAAAAGATTATCGCCATCCTTCACTGGAGTCATCCAGATTTGATCCAGCCTCCCATGTCCAACAGAAACACATGATATACCCTAGTGATCTTTTTCCTATTGAGGATAGAAGACATGGATGGGTGGCCCTGCATGTTTTTGGGATGATCTATGCTTTTGTGGCACATTTAATTGTGTGCGATCAGTTTTTTGTTCCTTCTCTGGGGGTCATCATGGAAAAGTTGGCCATCTCAGGTGATGTTGTTGGAGTCCTCTTCATGGCTGCAGGAACATCCATCCCATCATTCATTACCAAGCTAATCCAAGTCTTCTACTATCACTACAATTTAACTGTGAACATTAACCCAGAGATTGGCTCTATAGCTTATAGAAGCTTATTTGTGATTGGAACATGTGCTATGTTTTCTAGAAAGGTTCTCCTTGTACGCTCCTGGCCATTTTTCAGAGACTTATCATTTAACATGCTTGGTTTCATCCTACTGATCATTTTCTTGTTGGATAGTGTTGTCGCATGGTGTGAAAGTGTGATTCTGGTAACCGTTTTTGTACTCTACATCACCTTTTTGACATATGATGAGAATGCGGAACAAATAATGAAGACCCAACTCCAGAAAATCAAAGGGGTGATGAAAGCTTCATTTGTGAAGAAATGTGAAAAGGTGATGCCGGTAGAGGTAAAGCAGTTATTGTATATATAACTATAAGTATTTCACTGTAGAATTACAGTGAAATGTATTTTTAGAATTTTGTTTCACTATGCAGAATTTTTAGGTTTTTGAGTTGAAGTTTGAGCTTCTACTTTTATGAAGCATTTTACTGTGGCGTGATATCGACAAAAGCCTATTCATAAATTATTTGGATTGCCATCAGGGACAAATATCCTGATGTAAACATTCTTAAATACATTGTGGCTCTCTTTTATCTTAGTACAATTTTTGTAGAAGTTACTTTTTAATCCCATTTCCTTTTCTGATGTTTAAAGTGCTCTTTTTACCTGTTTAAAACAATCCCCCCTAGGTGTGTATACCCAAAGGTGAGGATGATGCAAAAAGCCCTGGAGACTGTGATGAAGAATGTGGCAATGAAAACAATGGTGGATGCCATGAAAAGAAGTTTGTTGAGAGCAAATTACTACAAGGAGGTACATCTCTGTCTTTACAAGTGCCCGACAAATGGCAGGAACAAATCACCTACGTCATCCTGTTGCCAATCATCCTTCCTCTGTGGCTCACACTTCCCAATATTCGTAGTCAGGTAAGGTCAGATTAATGTTTTGGATTTTTTCAGAGGTAATTGTCTCTTAATACTTGATCTATGATTTTATTTTGGTGTTTGATTCACAGAAAGCCAGAAAATTCTTTGTGCTGACCTTCCTTGCTTCCATTGTGTGGATTGGCATCTTCTCCTACCTTTTGAGGTGGTGGGCTCATCAGGTGCAGTGTTTCTAAAAACAACTTTTTTGTTCTTTAATAAGAGTCTAATTTTGCATTGAATTATTTCGGCTGCATGTGTTTTCATCCTGGATTTTGGACTTAATCCTACTAAACGGTATTTTTATATTTTACAGGTGGATGAGACATTTGATGCGATGGGTCAGATAAGATTCGTGGAAGGATTGATATTCAGCTCTGATTTTATAACTAGTCTAATAGTGGCTCATAAAGGCCTGGGAGACATGGTTGTGTCCAGTAATTTAGGCTGTAGCATCTTTATTGTGACTCTATTGTGAGTAAATAGATTGAATTGTCTTGCTGAGATAAAATGAGAGAACAGGTGTTCAAAGATTTGTTGATCCCACTGTAATTTCTGTGTTATTTCATCCAAAAGTTTACCAGTGGAATGGTTCCTCTACTCAGTCATCCATGGTTTCTCCCCTGTGGCTATCTCGACTGAAGGTCTCTTCTGTGCCAGTATCCTCCTCTTCGTCGTGCTCCTTGCTGCTGTCATCTCCATTATATTTTTTAAGTGGAGGATTGAGAAAAGTCTTGGCCTCATCTTGGACCTTCTCTTCCTTATTTTTGTGATCATCAGAATATTGATGGTGTTTGAAATCATTACATGCCCTGTGTAAAAAACAAACAAAAAAAAAAAACTCGAAATATGTTTTTGTATTTTCTTGGATTCTTCTCTATAAAACTGATGCATCCTGACATCTGCAAGGGTTTAAAGAAAGAAGTTTAAAAGCGTGATAATGAAATTATCAATATACCTGTCGAGTACACTTCATAAATATAAATATACATATTAGATTTTAAGGAACTCATGTCTATATAGCTGCAGTTTTAACTACAAACTTGGCCCATAGTGAAAAAGTTACTGTCACTTTTTCTAATTGAAGCCAACTGCCATCAATTGTTTGCAGGAACTTGCAGAGAGTCTTTCATTGCTGATGAGGAATTTTGGTCCACTCTTCTTTAAAGGCTTGTTTAATTCAGCAGTATTACAAAAGTATTGATCATGATTAGCCCCATTCTGGTCATGCCACTGCATCTCAATCCAATTTAGGTCCAAACTTTCACTAGATTACTCCAAAACCTTCAAAACATCCCACACCATTCAGAGGTGGACTTGCTAGTGGCCCATTGTGCCTAATGTACCCTCATCAGTTCAAAGAAGTCTTTTCTTTCTTTAGACATGTCAAGACATGATGTGTTGTTTTTGGAGAACTTAAGTTACATTTTGTTGTCAGACAGGTTTTTGTTGAAGTGCTTTGTTGATTCTACAGGTTACAGGCCTCCGTGTAAAATTGTAAAATCAAACAACCAAAAAATAGGATCAATAATGATTTTTTTTTAAAAAATGGGCTGAGTTTTGTAAATAATTTGAAAACTGCTTTTCACTTGCACTCTAGTTATCTTAGTCAGCCAATTTATATCATGATCTAAAACATATTGTGACTAAAAATGCAAAACAAAGAAAATCTATATTAAAGGAAATACTTTATAAGAATATAAAATAGTTTTTTGTGTACTTTTTAACAACTTTTTTTATTTAATAAGAAACAATGTGCTTAAATCAGGTGGTTTTGTTCACATAAAGTTAGATTAAAAATATTTTAGATTTGAAAGAACAGATCATTTAAGCTCTAGAATAGAGAAATGATTAAATTCACTGTCTTGTTTCTGTGTTTTTAGTATATATCTTCATAAGTAAAGGTCACATTTTTTTTAACTTGTGTGTTATCATACTCATTGACTTTTTAATAAATTACATAAAAAGTATGTCCATAAAAATGCCTTGTGTGTCCTGTTTCTTTAGGGATTTAAGGTTTTGTTTTTCTTATTTTTCTTTACAAGATTAAATGCACAAATACTTACACAAACAAGTCTAAGCAACATAAGTTAGATTTTTACACATATTTCTGGAGAAGTTGTGACTAAAACTTAAATTTTAATTCACTCATCTTTTTTTCAAGGATGTCATTGTAAATTTGCAAACAACCTGAGTGTTTGTCCTCAGACATACAGTCATGGCCCAGAGGTTGACTTATGTCAGGTTGTACAAAAGAACCTATTGGAGTGTTGTATGTGAACGTCCTGTTTCTCAAAAGTCAAAATATTTCAGAAATGACAGTAAGAGTTTCAAAATATAAATTCCTTCATTTTCAGACCTATATCTATGCACTATGACACCTTTCTTACTTTTACTTTACATCGTACAGATCACTGCTGAGGTTACATTTGCAAAGTGAGAGTGAGACAATGCAGTTAATCCTCTTAGAAGACTTCAGGTGTTAGGTATTATGTTGATCCATTGTGAAGACTTGTTCTGTGCCCTACATAAGCCTTTAGTCGTTGGGCAATAGTTTTTGTTCGTGCAAGTACATTTAACCTGGGAAAGCTGCAGAGATTTTGTGCCATTGACTACATGTTAATTTTAAGGTAAGTCTGTATTGTTACTTGTTTTTTTTCTTTATTTGTGTTTTGTTTTTTTACCTCTTTATTTCATGATCTTTTCTAATTAACATAAATTTACTCTTCAGTTGGTACCACCTTATAGGTTAGTTGTATTTTACCATCGAAAATCTCGTCCAGTCTTTATAAATTTCATCATTTTGTCTAATTGACTGGCAATGTTTTATATAAGAGTGCTTTTGTGAATGTTTAAATTGAGCTGAACTTGTGACTAATTTTGGTGTATTCTTCAATCTACAATAGGTTGAATTTTCCACAAACTCAATGATGTGACATGAATCACTCTACTCAAGTTCTGTATTCTTCTACCCCATGGTCTGTTGGGGACAGAGCTGGACTCTACCGAAGCTTATTTATGCTACTTAATTCAACCTAGCCACCAGGAGCGCTGCCTTGGAGGATGATGCATTGTCACAGAAGGAAACGGCTCCAGCTGAGCCGGGTTCTGTTTCTTCTCTCCGGAGTTTTTCTTTGTACCCTATACCAGCTCACCATTAGTGCCAGGCTGCAGGCACCAATGCCAGTGGCTCAGATTGGAGAGGATTTCGGAGAAGGGTCAACAGAGGGCGTTGAGGATGCCACAGCAGAACCTGGCCAGCTAGAGGAACTTCTCACTACACCACCCGAATTAGAGCCTACAGATCAAACAACACCAACGCATGTGATTCCTCATGATGATAAGGATTTCAATACAAATACACATATGGATTTAACTAGTGATTTCAAACAAGCCTCTTCCACTGAATCCACACTGTTGCCAACAACAAACCGGACTTTGGTGCATTGCATCTATGTGGCCCCAGAACCTCCTCTGGTGACACCCACCCCAGTTCCAGCTCCACCAGTTACAACTGTCTCCCCAGCTCCACCTGGTGAAGCTCCTCATGTAAAAGGTGAATACCCTGAAGATATATTTTCTATCGAAGATCGCAGGCGAGGATGGGTGTTTCTTCACATTTTGGGAATGATGTACATGTTTGTCTCTCTTGCGATTGTCTGCGACGAGTTCTTCGTGCCCGCACTAGGAGTTATCACAGACAAACTGGCCATCTCTGATGATGTAGCGGGCGCCACCTTTATGGCAGCTGGAGGTTCTGCACCTGAGCTCTTCACTTCTCTTATAGGAGTCTTCATCGCCCACAGCAACGTGGGCATTGGCACAATAGTCGGCTCGGCAGTTTTTAACATTTTGTTCGTGATTGGGATGTGTGCTTTATTTTCTCGGGAGATTCTTCATCTAACCTGGTGGCCGCTTTTCAGAGATGTTTCATTCTACATACTTGACCTCATCTTACTGATCATCTTCTTCTTGGACAATGTCATTATGTGGTGGGAAAGCATGATGCTGGTGGCCTGTTACAGTCTCTATGTTGTCTTTATGAAGTTCAATGTGCAACTGGAGCGAGAATTCAAGACCCAACTCCACAAACACAAGAGCATTGTGAAGGTTATTGCTGTGGAAGAACCTGAAAAGGTAAGCAGTTATGTAATAAAACATATTTATGCTTAATGTTCTGGATTACCTATTTAGCTTGATAAATCTCCGTTAAGGCTTTCATATTTAAAATTATTCTCATTTGGTGCTGGACAACTAACACAATGTTCTACGAGAATTACGAGTGAAAATGGCAACTCTTTCAATTTTTTGTCTTTGTATTCAATTGATTAAATGAATGAACATTTATATGTTTAACAGTTTAAATAATTTTGTAAATAAAAAAAATATGTTTAAAAAATAATGTGTCAAGAATCAATAAAATATTAATAAAGTGATTAAATGTGGAAATCACCATTAGAAAATGTTTCATTTATTGTATATTAAAACATTATGTAAATTTTTAGAGCTGTTTTATAGTGTCTCTGGAATAAAATGTTTTGTTTAAGCTTTACCTGTCAAAGTTAGACATGGCTAACACTGATATAAGCAAGGTTATTGGTCTGGAAGTGATCTGGTGTGCAGGTTAACCAATCAGATGTCAGATCCTACGTACTGAACAATAGTGACAGTTTGAATTATTCCTTTAGGGCTCTTGTATACGAAACTAGAAATAAATTAGTAAATATTGAAATAATAATATATAATTTTTAATATTTAAAGCATTCAAGTTTCACTTCACATTTGTGTGTTTAAAACATTGACACCCCATAAATATAAACAAATTTATCAATATTTATTTAACATGTTTGTGACAGTTTATTTAAATGATCACATATATAAAACTACACTGACAACTTATTAATTCATTTTTAATAGTAGCTCTTTTGGCCTTTGATACACAGTATGCCTGTGTTATATTTATTTTTGTCATTGATACATAAAGTAGCACTTATTTCAAGGAAACAGCATCTGTTGTTATGTGTAACGTTTCATTGATTCATTAAGGTTGAATAAATGCTAAATATAAAATGCCATATCAAACTAATCCCTTTTGGTGCCGCAGAGCTGCACAATTGGTAGCTTCATCATTCATTTTCTTATCCTTGGTTAGAGAAATTGAGACCATAATAAACTTATTTTGCTTACTTGTAACAAAACAAATTGTAACGTAGATCTTTAAGCTGTAATGATGCAATTCTTGAATTATATTTGAAGTCAGACATAACACACCAGAGTGTACGGTGAGTGTACATTTTGAAGTGAGGACAGGTTCATTTACAGTGCTAAGCTAGTCCAAGGCATGAAGGTAGATATTTAATAATGCACTACATTATTACTGATAAGACCTCACGAGTGTACAATATGAAAAACCATGCAATGTATAAGATTATGTTGAAACTTACATAAATTATACCAAAATGAAATACATTTGAATGATTATCACATTGTTGCACATTGTTGCACACAGACAAATGGGGAAGGAGAAGATCATGCCCCTCCTGCTCCAGAGGACAAGAATCGGTTAAAGGTAAAAAAATAAATAAATAAGAAAATGTACCAACCAACTCCAGGAAGTAGTAAATTTCTAACCCCCTGAGACCACAGTGCTGATTGTTACTGTTTTTATACATATTTTGAGTTTTTCTGTTTGTGTTCCTGCTCACTAACAAGCCTCACTGCAGGTACTGATTCATCATAATGAACTTGCTGAGCAAAAACACCCTGACCTCCACTTGAAAATGACGTACAGTGCCGTGTCGTGTCTATATTGCGAGAAGCTGTTGTGACCTCAGCCATCTTTTTCCCTAGTTGAAGCCATCCCTTCAGCGAGGGGGGAGTTCTGCTTCTTTACACAACAGCACCATGAGAAACACCATCTTTCAGCTCATGATTCACACATTAGACCCTCTTGGAGATGGTAAGTACTACATTTATGCCCCTGATGGCTTTTGTGATGGATAACTGCATAATAACTTTCACACATACTTCCTGTGTGCTATGTTCTGCCCAGTATAAAATGGATTAGCTAGGTGTCTCATATGCAGTCATCTCTAATTCCAGATTCATACTAAGCAGATAAATACTCCCTCAGTGTGCAGTAGGATCCAGTTGTTGATCCAGGTTGTGTCATAAAAAAGAAAATCATTATTCTGGTGCCAAAACTGGGAGTGAAATAATTGATCTTTCTACGCTTCAAATTTAGGTTATTCTGTGATTTTATTAGTTTATTTTGCAAAACTATTGCGGCCTTTGAATTTTACATGTTAGCTGCAGCGTTTATATTATTGTTGCTGCCTGCTTTGGCTCTTATTGTGGACTCACACAATACCGAATCTGTGTTTTCAAAAATAGTACATGTTTATAGTTTTACGCTTCATGACTTATTAATGCATTCAAAATTATTATTTGTTTGTTTTGAAGGAAAGTTTAAGGATAAGGTTGAGACCTTGAACAGTGTGGCCAGACGGAAGTCAGAGTCCAAGTCCCAAGAGAAAAGTGAAGGTAACAGGAAGGATCTGATGATAAAGCACTGATATTTGAACAGAATAGTAGATCAGAAGTAATGAAATGTAGGAAGTATAATGGAAATATTTCCAAGCTACCAAATGCTCACAATATTTCTTATCAAAAGAAGCCCTCAATGGCTCTCCGACTGAAGTTTCTTAAACTACTCTAAAATTAAGTGTTTTGTGGCTCACTTTCATGAAAAACTTGTTTAAAATGTCTATTTGTTTACATACTCCATAGGACCTTCTTTGGTCTAAAACCACCACAGACAAATTTCTAACTAAAATGTTAATGATTTCCTCCACAGGCAAAAGTGGAAAAACTGAGGAGACCAAAGAGCCAGAGGCTGCTCCAGCCAAAGATGCAGAAAAGAAGGAGGAGCCAGAAGCAAAGAAGGTACTCCCTACCCATGACCTGCTGACTTTCAAAAAGCCCAGAAGTCAGTCTTTGATACCTGTCTATGTAAGAATCAAAGTACAGGGATTTCACTATTTATATCAGGTTTTATTTTGACAAAAAAAATATTCTTTCCTTGTATTATATTTGGACTCCATTGCTTTTCTCCATTCTGCAGGACGACGTTCCAGCAGAACAAGGTGGATCGGAAGGTTCAGACAATTCCGACAGTGACGACGATGACAGCGATGAAGAGAGTGAGGAGTCCAGTGAAGATGAGGATGAAGATGAGAATGAAGATGAAGAGGAGGAAAAAGAAGATGACCCATTGTCTTTACAGTGGCCTGACACACCACGCAAACAAGTCACCTACCTCTTCCTGCTGCCCATAGTCTTCCCTCTGTGGCTCACCGTTCCTGATGTTCGGAACCAGGTTAGCATTTAGCATTTAGTCCACATTTCAAGGTGCCAATGTGATATTCTGATTTCCTCTATAAGTTTACCTTTATATTTTGATTTTATTCAACAGAAATCCAGGAAATTTTTTGTGTTCACCTTTCTGGGCTCGATTATGTGGATTGCTATCTTCTCCTACCTCATGGTATGGTGGGCCCATCAGGTCAGTTCATGCACTTCTTTGCTTATCTTCAATACAAGAAGCAAGAAATCAACATTCAGTTTATATTGAATCCCTAATTAAATATTCTATGACTTTTTTGTAATGAGGTGGGAGAGACCATTGGCATCTCAGAGGAAATTATGGGCCTGACAATCCTGGCGGCAGGCACCTCCATCCCTGACCTTATCACCAGTGTGATTGTGGCTCGCAAGGGCCTGGGAGACATGGCGGTGTCCAGTTCTGTGGGCAGTAACATCTTTGACATCACAATGGGGTGAGCTTTCACTGTTTGATCTGCCAGTATTAGAAAATAATCAACTGATTGCCCCCACAAGTGAATCCTGCATCTTTTTTTTTTTTTTCTGCCAGATTGCCCATCCCATGGCTCCTGTACTCTTTCATCCACGGTTTGGCTCCAGTCGCTGTCAGCAGCAACGGCCTTTTCTGTGCTATCGTGCTGCTCTTCCTCATGCTCCTTTTCGTCATCATCTCCATCGCAGTCTGTAAATGGAAAATGAACAAGGTGCTGGGCTCCACTATGTTTCTCCTCTACTTTATTTTTCTGGTGCTCAGCGTCATGCTGGAGGATCGCATCATTGTTTGCCCTATTTCCATCTGAGACTGCAAACACAAGCCTTTTTTCCACCGTAGACACTTTCGCATGGAGTGGGAACTTAAAATCGCTTTAACAAATAATTCTCATAAAAACCTTTTTTTTGGACCATTTGAAACAGTAATTGCAAGTAAATTTGACATACTCTTAACACCAATAGCAGCACCGCACCATTTTTAGTTGTAAAAGTATCTATGCAACTGTGTTCAGACTAAAATATATCTGTTTACTGAAGTTTTTATATTTTCTTCCATGTCCATAGTTTTTGACTTGGGCTTGGAGTATATTTAAAAGTACAAAACTTGTGATTTCATCTCAAGGTTGTCAAAGTCCAAACAGAACCTTCCTTTGGTGAAATTTCAAGTTAAATCAGATCTTTAAATTATTTTACTCAAAATGAATGTGTATTTTCTTTGACAACTTTAAAACAAATTAGATGTTAGCCATCTTTAGCCTTGTTTTTCTAAATTGCATAGAGAGCTCTTTAGATGTTGATATTGTGAAGGCACAGACCTTGGTAGCAAAGAAGCATCAGGGTTTATAAATGGCACACAGTCTGGAGCCCATGTTTTAACATGTATGGATTATGTGGTGTAATAAACAGATGGTTGTATTTACATTGCGAATTAATGATATGCTTTTTAATAAAGTTGTTACAGTTATTTTGCTGTTTTCATCCCCCTCAGTTGCTGTTCAAATCCCAGGCGAGTCCCAGTTTTGTCAATACCTGAAATCCATCCTTCCATTTTCTAACACCCTTGTCCCTATTGGGGTTGGGAGGGGTGCTGTTGCCTATCTCCAGCTAAAGTTCCATGCAAGAGGTGGGGTACATCCTGGACAGGTCGCCAGTGTGTCGCAGGGCAATACAGACACAGACAGGACAAACAACCTGTTTGAATTTAGAGAAACCATGTTTTTGGACTGTGGGAGGAAGCCGGAGTACCCAGAGAGAACCCACGCATGCACAGCAAAAACATGCAAACTCCGTGCAGAAAGACCCCAGACCCACAACCTTCTTGCTGCAAGGCAACAGTGCTACCAACTGCGCCACTGTGCAGCCCCACTACCTGAAATGGTAGATGAAATAATTTATTTTATAAAAACTATTTCAAACAAAACCAGTATTTGTATGTTATGTCAAGTCAGAGTGGTTGAGGGAATTTTGTGTTTGAAGCTCATAAAAAACACTCAGTAAAATAACTTTATTATGTATTTTTAACAGAATTATGCAACTTTTATTTCAAAGTACTTTGCAATAAAATGTAAAACTCTTGAAATACGAAGGTTTCATAAAACATTAGTTAATCGCATAAAGCAACATGCAAACTAAATGTTATCTGTTCTCATCTATCCATGATTACATGAATATAATCAGAATACTGCGACTACAGTAACGGGAAATCGGATTTTTAATCAGATGAGACGATTGATTTATTTGCAACATTCAAAGGGCTGGTAATTTTGTAAAAACAAAAACAAAACAAAAAAAAAACTATTATTGTAGTTTAAAAAATACACTATTTAAGGCTATTTAAACAACCTTAAATAGTGTATTATTGTGAGATTATATCAAAATAACAGACTATTTATACGGCTTTTAATACATTTTTACTCACCAGGGTTTACAGAAAGTGTGAAACATGTAACTCTGACCCCAAACACATTTTAATACTTTTGGAAGGTGAAAGTGCGGGTGTAAAATTTGTGCAGAGTTTGGACAGAGAGCTTTGAAAGTGTGAATTTGTCTTAAATGTAAATCTTGCAACATTATTTTCATAACTGTATTGGAGTAAGTTCAAGCTTTTTTAGGTAACTTTTTCATCAGCTTAGTTTGAGAAATGACAAAACGTGAATTTCACTTGGTAAACGTGTTTATTCATAAAGGAAGGCAAAGTATCGATCCGCTCAGGGAAGAAATTTGTTTTTTATCTTTTATGTAAAAATCATACAAATTAGTATCTGTGTTACAAACAATAAATAACACTTCAGAAACATTGTTAAAGTTGACAGTGTAAACATCACATAAGATGAAACATTACATTTTGGTCATCAGTGGTTTTCAGACACTTATGAGGTGGTGATAATGCAGATTTACATGTTTTGAGGTTGGTGTTCGAGCCAAGCACGCAACCTTGACTTATCCAGCATTATTAAGTGATTGTGAAGCTCAGTATAAATGGAATCTCAGTTGTTATTTTTGTTAAGATGTATTAAGATGCTGAAGTTTCACACTCAATTGTAAAGTGAGATTGAATTTGGGCAGGTCCGAGCTCAATTGTATAACATTTGGGTGATGATTACAGTGCAAATAAACTCTGGCAACTATTCAAAGTAGTAGAGGATTCACAATAAACCTGACCTGTTATTCACAATAAACAGTGCACAGTTGAACAAGAATTCAAAATCTACACCTAAAACAAAACTTACAAAATACAAACATTCTGTACATTTACAGGACCTATGACAATTATTATTTGTAAAAAAAACAAACAAACAAACAAACAGTTTAATTAAAGCAATAAATTTAATCAAATTCACTGCTTTTAGTTTGATTACACAGTTTTGGATATCGTTTTATGGTTGAATATTATACATAATTTTTTAATTACCTCTTTACAAAAGGTTGAGAATCTGTAAATAATATAAATAATATTCCCTACTGGGTCTCTTTAAACAAATTGTTAAAAAGAATGAATTATTCAAGGCAGGAGATAAGTGTTAATTCATTTTTTCCTCATTGGTTCCAAACCAGTATTGTTATTACCATATGGTTTAATGCATCCAGGTAAATGAACATGCTATAGTTTTACAGAGTTCATGTTAGCACAAGTAGACTCAGCTTTATTGAATGACTCCAACTCAAATGTCAGTACAGCAACTCCTGCTAATGCCAAATGAAGCGTGACTTTGTAGCTTTGGTTGCAGGACCACTGAGTTATCTAACAGAGAACACACAGCTCATCCTGTCAAAGTGCTTTGTAAAATCACACAACATCTAATAGCAACAACAGTCTAAACAAGGTCACATTTGCCCACTTATTCACAGCTTCAAGACAAAGACATAAAATAGACCATATTACAACTGTACAAATATGTTACTACAGGGATATCCAAAATATGGTAATTTTTCTCCAATATATATATAAACACAAGGCCTTCATACCTCTCAGCTCTAACAGTACAAGAAACTCATGGCAGTTGCTTTGCATTAAGGGGGGATTTTTCCATTGTGCTTACTAAAAGCTCCATGCCTTAGTCAGGTGAGCTGGTCCTGAGTGTGAAGAGCAGTCCAACATTACACCAGCAGTGACTATATATATATATATATATATATATATATATATATATATATATATATATATATATATATATAATATTATATATATATATATATATATATATATATATATATATATATATATATAAATACTGTATATACACATTTAAATAATTATGACGTTCACAAACTGGGCTCTCCAAACGTCCTCCTGCACTCCATGACCCCAGCGCCCGGAGGCCTGTCACAGTTATGTGTCAGTTTAACTTGGTTGGGGGAGAGGCGATCATAGGCCAACCTGTACTCCCGATCAAAGGCATCTGTACAGAGAGAACACAATAATTTAATCTGACCGTTCAATAACTCAAAATGACTTTGTAAATTTATAAACAATACCTTGCGATTTCCTTTAATATTGTTAAAATCATATATTTTGACGTATTTCATTGGGATATTAAGTGACTAACATAATAGTCTGGTAAAATACAGTCTCCAGATAGAGATGAAGAAACCCCAAAATACGTGCTTCTGACTTTTAAGCAATAGAAAGTTGCACAAAGTACTGTCTCAAAGAGAGTATGAGAATAAATTTGTACCACACTTGTATAATTTGTATATGAAAAAAAAAAAAGAAAGAAAAAAAGTAAAGTTATGTATCGATCTTTGTTTCATTTTATGAATATGTATTACTTTTTTGGGGTGTCTCACAAAAAAAAATCCAGTAAAATTCCCATTAGTAGTTTTAATGGGATAATGTGAAAATGTGAAAACTTAGTTTGCCATGAATAGTTTTCTGAGGAACTGTGAATCTCAGCCTGTCGCTTTTTATCAAGCAAAAATGTAGACATTTTTGAATAAAAGGAGTGAACTTACTGATATTTATGTTGTTCTTCCCCAAAGCCACAAGAGTTAGAAACAGTAAATCTCTATAGAGGCTCCTTTTAGAGTAGAAGAGATAGAGAAAAAAAACACTTTAGACTTTCCATCCATATCATCCTCCCCAGGCAGTTTAGAACAGCACAGACATCTTTCATTCCCACCTCTGTCTCTTGAAACCCAACTCGGGCCCCAGCAGCTGGATGATCTGGCTCATGGGCTGATAGACGTCGCTCTTCTTGATGCTCCTCACAAAGCCTTGCAGCAGCTCCACAGTGAAGAGTTGCCCTTCTTCGCATAACCCAGAGCGGATCAAAGAGTTGCCACCTGTAAAAACAGAGCAAACTAAACGTCAGCCTGATCAAAGGATCATTCATCTCCAACGTTCAAAGTCGACTGAGACAGCAGAGCTATGAGGAATCCTGAGGTAAATTACGGTATGTATGATGCTCCAGGTTTACCATAGACTAACTTTAAAAGTAAATATGTCCTCTTAACACAACTTTGGTGAAAATATAGTGCTCTATATTTTTCCACAGTGTATTAAAGAAAATGCAGAATCAACTTACAGTGTGTGTTCCACAGGACATAGCAGGGTTGAACTTTATCTTTGTGCAGCTTCAGGTTGTCCCACATAATCCTCACCAGCACCTGCTTGCTGTCCTCAGATGAAGCAGTCTGGGGAATCTAGAGGGAATAAAATATGTGAGTTTACTCCTTTTTTGGCATCCGGTCTTTTGGGGGTAATTTTAATACTGCAAAGTCTCTATGCTGCTTGAGAGCACTGGCTATTTTACACTTTATCATATGTACATTTGCTGTTTTAGTACTTTTCAACCCAGATCTTATATCACAGGAGATTTTAAATCAACCATGGGGCAATTTTTTAAAGGGATGTGTTTTGTACCACCTATGGAAGCCAATCATGTAAAGGAATTTTCTATAGTTTACCATGAACAAACTTTATTATAGATCAATATAAATCAGAAAATAACAAATAAACTAAATTATGTGTCAGAGCTACTGAATTCATTACAAATATTTAAATGTATAGAAAATAAAGCAATGACAATTATCCTGAGAAGGACGTGAAATGGTTCTTATATAGTATCGATATATATTTTGGATTGTTTATTATTTTCCCTCTACCTAACACTAGGAGGCGCCAAATACCACAGTTGAATTTGAAAAAGAGAGTCTCCCCACATAAATGTGATGGTGATATTAAAATAAAAATATAAGCGTTGCCTACAGATGTACAACGTGTACTGATATCTACCTGGTCACCATCGCTACAATGTTGGGAAGCCAGGATAAGAGCAGGCAGGTTACTGGGCAACTCCAGTCTTCTGAAGTACCACACAAGGTTCCAGAAGACAATGGGATGTTGGTCAACGACGCTCGGGGAGGAGATGGCCTGGTCTCCCTCGTTCACCAGTAGGCTCTCCAGCTCCTTCCAGAGAACCAGGGGGCTCAGGTACGGCACTGTCACTGGATCAGGAGATGATGCTTGTGCCAAGGCTGGGGCGTCATTGCAAACACTCCAGCTGCTCTTCTGCTCCAGAGCAGGAGACGCAGATGGCTGAGCTGCCTCAGACAATTTGGCTTCGGGGCTGAGCAGTGCAGACGTGTCCTCCTCTTTAACAGGATTACTCCACTTAGATGACCTGGGGGTGGGAGACAGAATGGATCTATTTAAAGAGGTCATGAGGTTAAATAGCTATTTAGATCACACGTGTCAGTGAAAAAATAATGACTTTCTCACAAAAATAATACCACAATAGCAATACAATACCTATTCTGTGGTCTCAGGTCTTTGATTTCCACATTGAGGAAAGGCAGGAAGGCAGTGCCACAGAAAGGACAGGTGCTGTTGAGGTTTGAGTCATCTGCTGTCCAACCGGCCATGATCTCTTCATCATACACCAGACAGTCACATGTTTTACAAAGTGAGCAGCTAGACATCATCACCTAGGAGAGATAGCATAAGGAGAATGCATATATTGCCAATAAAACCCTCTGAGCAACCTCATAAAAAAGTTTATGGCCTGTAAATATCTTACCTCTATGGTGTAATTAGGACTGGGCTGGAAGCGGCTGACATCAGGAGAAGAATCTGGAGTCCGTGGGCCTTTAGAATGAAGAGCTAAACCACCTGGACACAAAGAAGAATGAGACAATTATTAGTAGAAGTCAAACCCTGATTTAATATCCCACCATACACTTCTAAATCTGCTCAGTTATTCCTTTGAATCTAAATACTGGGAGAAATTGGTTCTCCCAGTATTTGAGCAGCTTGAACCTACAAGCTTCCAGCCACCAGCTCAGAAAACATGAGATCTAGGTTGCTGAATCTGACAAAAGACTAGAGGGACTGTCATATTGAACTAGGTATTTATAAATCCAACTTAACAAATACTTAATTGTTCCCAAAGGGGAGTTAAATGTTGTTACAACTAATTTAATTGAAAAGTACTGAATCTGTTTCACAGAATGAAATTAGAATGGCAAGATGATAAACTGATGCAGTAATATTTGTGATGGATAGGCGTCGTTTTCAGTGTGTAACCTGGAGAGGGATAAAGTTTGTTAAGAAACCAGATAAAAATTATTTTCAGCATTGGAATGTGCTGGAAATCTGAAAAAAAGAAATTACAATAGCTTTCATACTTCAGGTTCTTTATCACAAATTGGAACAACAACAAAAAGTCAAAATAACACAAATGAGATAGTTCATATTCATAACACAAAAGTAACACAAATGTGTTACTTTTACTGAGGCATCAGCTTTTCCATTAAAGTCTAGAATCAGTCAATGTTTTGTCTTTTGGGGACAGGTTTAGTAAATCTCTGTTTCAGTTGGGTTTGTGCATGTGAATGTATGTGCACGTGTCTAGCAAAGATGCCTGCAGCTAGCTGCACTAAAGCCTCTGCACTGAATCCACCCTCATGCCTGCTGGCCTAGTTTTTCCACAGAACAGTACCCAAATCTTTCCAATATTGAGTTCTTCTCCCAGCTTAGATTCAGATTAAGTGTTCATTTATTTTTCTCAAACAAAAGAACAATGCTGCAAAATACATTTTCATCATATCGAAGGTTACATATTAGGCAAATACGACCTGAATCCGCTTTTTTTTTTGTCCGCATGCAACCTATATCTGACTTTTTTCATGCCAGTCTAAATGACCCAATTCTGATCTTTTGACCCCAAAAAGATCTATACATGGTACTAAAACAGATAAATATCTGATTGTTTTCAAAGTGTTTGCAGTGACAGTGGTCATATTTCATTTGACTTTTATGTAATTGATATGAGACATGCATCATAATTCTATACCAGAAGAAGTCAGACGTGGTAAATACAAATGTAAAAAATGCCTAAAAATTGTAATTATGAACTTATGAAAGCAGTCTGTGTCACCAAACCAAATCACAATCCCACCACTCCTGGCTCTGACTACACATCCAAACAGATTTCTCTACAGAAGTTGGAGTAAATGCTTCACAAAAAGCTGTTGCTATTAGTTATGCTTTCGTTTCATTAGCTTCTTTAATGTGACAATACCTTTGGCTCCCTTTGTTGAATAGACAACAAAGCAATCCATAATCAGTGGCATCCATTAAGACTTCTGTAAACGATGCATTGCTGTTATTCTTGTCTGCATGCGGATTGCTTTGGGGTCGTAAACCACTTACACAGAAATCTAATTGTGGTTGTATTTAATTTGTAGTATGAATGAACATGAAAAATTTAATTTTAAAAAAAATTAAGAATTGATGGGTATGAACGTAGCCTAAGATATTCACTGCAACACTACTGCCTGTACTTAATGATGAGTAGTGTTCAACCAACCAGAGAAGGAGTTATGTCTGAACACTCTTGTGGGGCTGCTGGGGCTGCTCAGGTTGGTTTTCTGAGCTGTGGCAGGGCTCCTCCTGACCCGGGACATGTTCCCATGCTGAGGTGAAGTGAAGCCATGAGGATCCAGGCAGGCGTCGCTATCCGGCAGCGAGGAGCATTCTACCTCGGCTGAGGTCAGAGAAGAAACGCTCATACGATCACTGTTTCCGTCCTGCCAGAAAATATATAACACAACCCAGTCAACTTGGGTCAACTGATTTCATCTCAGACATGTCTGATTAAAACTCCCATCTTACCTGTGTCAATGATGTCTGTGATGACAAACGGGAGTAGAGGCGACTGGCCTTCTCCGCCACACCCTTTCCTGCGGATATGACGCTGCTCTTGAAGATATCCAAAGTCGGAGTCAGCAGTGAGTCCATGGAGAATGACGAGGTGGAGGGACTGGGCGAGGAGGGCAAAGCCAAGGAAGAAGGTCTTTCCTTGTCTTTGTTACACATGCCCATAGGAAGAGATGGCGAAGGCTTCAACCTCTCCTTGGATTTCAAGGGCAGTGAGAGGTGTGTGTTGGAGCAGGTGAGTGTGGACGACTGTGGGGATGTCTGAGCTGACGAGCTGGAGCGAAACAGTGGACTACAGGAACTCTGCCGTTCCATATTGGGTGAGCGGCTGTTCAAAGGGCTGTTGCTGTTATTTATGAACATTTCAGTCTCTTCGGCAGGAGGTGAGTTACCCTTACCCAGGTCACACGGCTGTTCTGATCCTGCTGCCCCCATCTGTGACAAGGGATCATACCCCGTTTCTCTATCTCTCTGTCTCTCCCCGACTGATTTTTGCTTGTCAGTCTCTGTATCCTCTTCTTCCACACCATGCAATCTGTCAGCATTAAGATGAAGCTGTTTGGTTGAACAAACTAGGGGGACGGTGAGCATCACTAATCCCTGTCCACCAGACAAGTCCAAAGATTTGGGCCTCTCTGTCTTTGGCAGCGCCGGGCAAAGCAGAGTCTCATTAGGGCTGGAAGCAACTCTGGTGCCACAGTCTGGGATAAAAACACATGAGCCAAAACATTTAGGTCAATCAGAAGTCAGATATTTAAGTATGTTTGAAATTACATTTAGACATCTTTTAAGACACATTTCAATGTCTTTGTCAGCTATTGAGTGTATGACTGTTTAATAATCACATTTTAGAAGTGCTGGGTGAGGTTGTGTTTTTCTCACACCCACATCAGTTTATTATGTTGCACAGTATAAAATTTAAAATTCTGGTATCCAGAGCAAAGTTGTACAGAAGTGCACAGGCTAAAAACATTTTCTCTGGCATATGCAGAAGACTTTCTATAACTGTTCCCATTTTAAAAACCATTTGAAAATGCTTTTATTTTCATAACTTTTATGCCATGACTTGTGTATATTGTGCTTCTTATCCACATTTTATTCTTTGTACAATTTAACATTGCATATCTCTTTGTGATTTTAGGTTAATAGATCAATTTTACTTACTTACGTCAATGTACCATGTTTTCTTTACTTAAATCTAGTTCCTAATGTTTTTGTAACATTTAATCATGCCATGGTTTAAAAGGCAAAATATCTATAATACCTGCTCATCAGTCTACAGCGATTTCTGTTGACTCAAAAAACCATCACCTCCTGTGTGCAATCAAACACAAGAGCTGGCTTCTACGGCACTGGTTAAATCTCTGTACATGCTGACTGTCATAATCTTGTGGTATTTAACAGTCCAGACTGATAAAATAACATTGTTCTAAATATAACAGTATTTTTTCTGAGAAATGCTCAAGACATTCCTTGCAGAACAAAAAATGATTTCCTATTAGTTTTTCTTTAATGGAGCTTAGTCCTTATTTATAGAGATGTTTTTAATGCACATTAATAAAAACAGAAGTCCTCCTCTGTCTTGTAAAGTAATTAGAATAGTCATTTTAATATGTTCTACGTTAGTCAATTTTTAAATACATTTAGGCACCTTATTGACATAACTTGACAGTCTACATAACCCCATAAAAAGTTACCTGACATCTTGCAAACATAATTTCGCCCTAATGTGAACTAATAAGTATAAAACGTTTGATTTCCAACATTTACATTTGACCCTTCTGTCTACCATAAGCATGCAATATATGAGAATCCTCTGGCAGCGATGTACTCTAGCGCACATTTTAATTCATACATTTTGTTCCCCAAGACATTTAATAATGTTTTCAAAACTGCTTTCATCTTTTTTTCTTTTCTAATTATAGTTACTTTAGTGAGTCAGGGAAAAAAAAAATCAAATCCCAGCATTGTAGTTTTGATTTGTCTTAAAATAAAGCCACTTTGTTTTCTATGGAAAATTAAAAGTGCCTCTGATAAAAAAAAACTCTGGCCTATTAATGAGGACAACCAATACTGCGACAGAGACTAACTCTTACAGAAAGCGCCAGCTTACATAACAGTAAGCATATCCTCTAAACGATAAAAAAAACACCCAAATATAACAGCAAATGGGTGGATGAGAGAACATTACACCCACACTGTGACTTTATTCCCCAGCTTTTAAGTACAGAACACTTATTTTTCTGTGTACAGTGACTCATTTCTACAGAACTGCTCACAAAGATGGAAAGACCCAAGGTAGAAAGCTCTCCAATACTCACTGGGCTGCCTCAACCCTTTTTCCTCCACTGGTGCCGAGTTATCGCTTTCTCTGTTGCACAGCCTCTCCTCCTCCTTTGACAAGGAATCGTAGCCTTGATCAGACTGTCCACCTGAAGAGAAGAATATGCTTTAATCCCGTCAGTGTTATTTTTATGGCTCAAGTCATTACTTGTCCTCCTTCTGAAAGAGCTTGGTACATTTAAATTACCACAGCAGTTTTTAAGGAAAGTTTTTAAGAGACATCTGATCATTGAAGTTTTCTTCAAAAGAGAGTTCTGACATTGCCCCGAGCTTACAGGAGGCATTCCCAGAATAGAAAAGCAAGAAAGGCAGGAAAGGAATAAAATCCTTCTAAAACTTGAATCATACTTACAAGGTCAGCATGTTGCATAAAAGATATTTAACAGTTTTCGTTGGGTTTTTTCTTTGCTGCCTTTTTTAATGGCTTAGTTTGATGAAAACGTTGCAGAAGCAAGTTATACCAGAGTAAAATGTAAAAATACAGTAAATTGCTAAAATGGGTAGCTCTTGTAGTAAATTAAAATTTGTATCTATTACTGTAGAAGATATAGGAATTTAAATTTGATGATTCCATATGAATAATAATACAACAATGTTTGCAGAATTGTATTTTTTCTGAAAATCAAATGATCAACAGAAAGCACCTTGCTTGGAATATAATAGTGCAATTTATTACGAACATAACAATGCGTTATCTATGTTTACTGTGATCTGAGCAGGTGCAGGGTTTCCAGATTAAATGACTGATCCACTTTTAAGGTGACAACTGAGTCACATCAAGATCACAGAGGGTTTGAGAGAGAAGCATTTCAGATTTAGAGGGAAAAAGTAGGATGGAATAGCACTGCATCGCCTTACCTGTACTCAATCCATCATCGCTGGAGTCCATTTTAGTGAAGTCAGTATCGATGGACGTGCGTTCCGCAGAGTCATTAGTGCTGTCTAAGCTGCCATGGCTGACTGTGTCAAGATCACTGCCATCTACAGGGAAACGGCAGGGAGGAAAGGGAGCGAGACGCTTAAAAGCATGACAGATAACCAATAGCCCTGCTCACATAAGAGCCATGAATGAACAATCACTGAACCAAGTAAAAACTATTATCAACTGAAAGCCACACAAATCTCTTCATGCCTGAATGAGACCAAACAGGTATCTGTATTGTCTGGATTTAGTTAAAAGAATGACGTATTGAAACGTGAATCAATGTTGTGCATTTCTCTCACTGTAAATTTGATGAGGAATATGTGAATATTGTAGATTAGCATAAAAATTAGTCCATTATGTTAACAGAGTCAAACCAACATCAGCATGGCATCCACAGCAGCAACGACACCATTTACAGAGTAACGCATGGTGTTTTCATTAGTGCCCCCACACAACATTCATTACAGTAATGAGATGGTCTATGGTTTGGGGAATTAGAGAACATGTCAGCATTAGAAACCTGGGTACTGACAGAGTTCGAAAGAAAAACCTTTTACTTTGTTTAATTACAAGTACATTATAGTGTCATTAAGGGAAGGCAGATGGGGAACAATATGTGCCGGTGGAGGCTGTGGCTGGGATAAATGTTAAGAGACCTGAAAAACTAGCGGAGCAACAGCAACTCAGGCCAAAAAAAAATACATACAATCTTAATGTATGTATTGTTGATATTTGAACTGAATTTGGGGTACACATTACAGAGTGTCATATAACTAACTTGGGATTTTCAAATATGGCCCCAAATATCGACATGGACTCCAATCGTAATACCATTAGCAGAAGCAGATTCTGCTTTGTTGGCTAACTCTGTGTGGGCAGACAAAGATTTTAGATGCAACACGATCTACAAGCATAACATAAACTTCAGAGGAAATTGGCTCTGGCTGTGAAGTGTTCATCATGTTTATCAGAAGGACAGACTGGGCGAGGAAAATTACTCTTTGGCAGCTGAGCCCTCTGACACCAACCAGAGGTAAAAATAAAAAAATATTTTGTCCAGGATGTGGGGGGTCTGCAGAGATAATGATGGTGCGTTTCTTGACTCTAAGCAAATACAAGGGCAGTTTGGCCTCGTCCTGGTTGTGCAATTGACAGACTGAATAATACAAAAATAATAGCTGAGTTTTTAATTATACTCAATTCCCAATACTTATTGTAGATAAGCAGTCATTATTTTGTCAGCTGCATCCCCGACAAGTCCTACGACCGAAATTTCTTTTTTTCAAAATCACTTCCTATATTTTGTGCACAACTTGCAAAACTGTATTTATATATATATCCATTTGCATAACTAATTAATCTGTCCCTTCCTCCCCTCAAAAAAAAATTACAAAATTATTCTTCATACTAAAATTCACAGTGAAAGAGAGCATATTTACATATCTGCTGATTTCTCATTTATGAAACCTGCTTCGCTCGCTGTGTTCAAACTCAAGTCATTAAGTGTTACAACATGCAAAGCAAAAAGGTGAGAAGCAGGAGAATAACTTGTACATGGTTAACTGTCTGGTAATTCAACACACTGTGAAGCACAAAAACCTCATTTGCAGGAGCCCAGCAATTAGTTGTACCTTTATTTGCAAAAATCAGATTGATTTTGAATCAAAACAAAAGCAAAAGGCAGGCCTGCTGAAACTCTAGCTGAGACAAAATATGTGGAACTGTCAAGAACCTGTTTTAAACCTTCTAATCTTTAAAAGTATGGATTCATGTCATGTTTATATTAAAAATGATCACAAGGCTACTGTCTGACCTTATTTAGGGGATTAGAGCTGTTCATTTTTCTGACTTGCTGAAAGTCAAGTTAGAAATAGTTTGCTAAATCATTTTGTTCAAAGTCCTCACCTGAAAGCTGGGGGTCTTTGTGTGGAGTGTGTTGCTTTTTTCCTGCCTGCTTGAACTGAAGCACACCGAGTATCACGTTCCTCAGTTTCCCCCACAAGAAATATCCTCCTCTGGTAGTGGAGGGCCAGGTGCTCTCTAGCACCGCCTTGGAAAACAATACAACGCCATAAAAGTTGAGAATCATTGCCTAACAGCCAAATTTACTGTCAAATGACATTGTTGCTCATATGGTGTTCACAGCAATAGTTTTTACCTTGTTATAGTATCCATAAGTTATAGCATTGGGCTGAACTCCTGCCTTCTTCATCTCAAACAGCACCCTGACGGCCAACACTGGCTGACTGTACTGACCGCACAACTGCAGCAACACACGGTAACACACCTGAAACACACACAAAAAAGAGTTGTGCTAAAAACATATTCCATAGTAAAGCAACCCAATACTTCAGCCTTTCTATTTCTGTATCAAGTATTTTCATACCTCATCAGGAGCCTGCAGCTTCTTGTCTTGCATCTTTCTTAAGACATCGTAAGCGGTCCGCAATGCTCGCACCTTGGAGTGACAGTTTTCCACAAACCCTGGCAGGCAAATAAACCATAAGCCGTAGCAGTGCCGAAGCAAACACTTAGACCACATCTGAGGCATAGATGAGTGTGTTTTGGCCATCTTCTGAGCGGATTTGATCTCCTGCAAAATGAGAAATTTGTGGTCCTTTATCACCCAAATGCCATGGCAGTCACTCATCTTTAACATTTATGGGTTAAAAAATAGAATGTAGAGTTCTCTGTTTCTATGTATGACCTGTTTTGAACGTCTAAAGATCGCCGTGGGGCTGGCTGGGGTGCTGTGGCGTGGAGCAATGCCTGCTAAGTTAGAATTTGGTCCTTCCATGGTCTCCAAAAGATCAGATCTCAGCACCGGAAACCCGGAGTAGCTGCAGAGACACAGAAATCAATTAACTCATCTGCAGCAGACAGCAATAAAAGGAATGCTGGCAGTTAACCCTCCTCTTGTCTTCGGGTCATTTTGACCCGAAGACAAGAGGAGGTTGTTCTTATTTTTTTCGTCAAGTTCACATTTGAATTGCTGCAGCAGAAAATTCCATCTGAGTTGTGAACACTGTAGGTCTGATTCAGGACTGTTAGATTTCAAGTTTCTGTATGCAGTTGCAATTAAAAAAATGTTTTATAAGGGCTTGTCCTCGGGTCATGTCAACCCGAGGGCAACAGGAGGGGGGGAAATTTGAAAAGATATCAGTTTTACGGAGATCAGTGATGCCATTCCATACTGTTTGCCTGTCCAGCTGTGATTTCCTTAGTCTTCCGGTCAGTCTGACCTGAGGCCTGGGTTTGGTTATTTTTATTTCTTTTGTAAAGTTCACATTTGGATTGCTTGAGCCTAAACTTCCCCCTGAGTTGTGCACACCATAGTTCTGATGCAGGACTGTTAGATTAAAGTTTCTGTATGCAGCTGCAATTGAAAAACATATTTTTTAAGGGCTTGTCCTCGGTCGACATAAGCCGAGGACAACAGGAGGGTTAAGTCTGTAATATAATATGGACTCCAATGCCAATGTGTTGCAGTTCAAAATGACCACTCGACTAAGTTGAAGTGGCTAAGTCGCCAAATTCTAAGCTTCGTCTTTCTTTTTTTTGTCACCTGTTCAAGGAAAATTAAGCAAAATAAAGACGTAAATTATACCTATAGCACAGAGGATGTTCTTCTCCTTGAGGCAGAGGAGGCAGTTCTGGAGGGTTGATATAAACTGTGTGCTCACTGCGGTGGGATTCATCCAGCTCAATCATCCTGGTGTCCTCTGGCCGCTCGCTATCCATCTGGTTTACCAGAGAAGTACATACTTGTCATCATTCTTCATGTTTAGTTACCATAAATTCAAATTCCACCCATTACATTTATGCATGCTGCCTTAGCAATATGTGATATAGTATGAGCCCTAGGATCCGGGCACATATGGGGGTCCATAAGAACGAGCAGATGTCAGTAATGACTCCATCTGCATTAGAATTATGGCGCTGGATCTGAAGAGAGGCACTACTGCCAAAGGCAGCGGCTTGATCTCATAAATCCTCCAAGAGTAAATGAAAGTAGGCTGCAGTGACCTGAACAAAATTGATGCCATGTTACCCCAGAGACGTTAAACCTTTTGACTGAGATACTTTGGCAACACTACAGGATACTAAGTAGCCACATTAGCTTCACATCAAACTTGACTGATCTGTTGTTTGGAGAGAGCGACACAAAGCTCCTCAGCCGGCGTGTCAGAGAAAAGCTCCAGCCTGACGCAGTAAACACGCTCATTTTCACACGCAAAAGAGTAAAAAAGACATTGAAGTACACTGAAAATGCTTGCCATGATGATCTAAAACTATTTGTCTTGTATGTTCCTCACAACTATTCTGCACACAAAACATCAATAACAGGAGCTAAACAGTCCTGCCAGTAGAAACAAATTAGAGGGTTTATTCCACTCAGCTGAGAGGATGATTCAGTCAACCGACTGACTGACCTATTTGTCTTCACTTCGATTCTGCTCCTCTGCGCTTCTCGAACTGGTGTCCTTCCTCTCACACCCAAAAGCTCTTGCTCAATCATGCATTTGTTGTCAGTGTCAGCAGCAACAATGAATGAATCAATGCTTCCACTTCTCAATAACAACTGGAAGAAATGACCATCAACATCGGACCTCTAAAATGTTGTTGCTGAATTTAAATGTGACATCCTGATTGCACAATTTTGCATGAATACAGAAGATATTTTTTTCTTACAAAAGGGGGCAGGATGTTTTGTCATTTTTTTTGTATGTGCAACAAAGCCTTTTGACTGTCTTTTTTCATATAAAATGTCAAATCGGCAATAATAACAACAATTCGCAATCGTCCCCCAGGATTTTTTTGTTAAAAAGGGAAAGAAAAAACACAAAAAATGAAGATTTAAGCATGACACAGGATCTCTTAGAAAGAGCCTAAAGAATGACAAAACATTTACTCATACAACACAAGTTCAGTTGGCTTACCTTGCAACCAGAGGTGAATAACTACCCAAAAGGAAGCACAATGACAAAAAAAGAGGAGAGAAAAGGTAATACATGAGCAGCAGAGAAAACACAGAGTAAAATAGGAGTAAAAAGCAGAAAAACACAATCACAAATTGTGAAGGAGATTTTCCAAGCTTTAAAAAAAATGGAATCAGGGAAGAGAATAGAAACATGAAAAACCCACAAAAATAGCTTATTTGATATGGTTTCTAGCATTAACAGCAGGTGTAAGTGCGCACTCAAATGGACCTCTGCCATTCAGATTTTAACAACCTCTAATTTGTTTCACCAAGCTTCCAGTTAATATCAAAATTAGGGCTGCAAAAACAGTAAAAATCTCAGTTTTGAGAAAAAGATAGCAAGGATTAGCTGAGACCCTCACCTTATCAACACACTCATCAAAGAAAGCCAGGCTGGCATCTTTATCACTGACAAAGGAGCACTCTTCAATGAAGCGACTGAACATCTGAGTCTTCGTCATGAGGGAATAAAACCTCTGATGGGAGCGGTCTCTGCTCTTCAGGAAGCCTGTGCAAGTAAACACATTATTTCAAGATAAACTAAAAGCAGCATCGTCATTACAAATATCAGACATCTGAATCTGAAACAAAGTGGTCAAGATGTTCTAAACCAATATTTTAGGAAATTAACAGACTGATTTGAAACAAGCTGTTCTTTGACTCTGATTGCATAAGAGCAGAAAAATATGTGTGGACACTGTGATATTAATCATGCTGCTTCTCTGACTTATCATCCAGGCCTAATTTCCACAGAAGCTCTGAGCCAGAATTCATTTAAGGGAACTTTTTTATGCAAGAACTGCAGTTATTAGAACCCAACTTGTCCAGCAATAAATCTTGGGGGCAAGAAAGCCATAGCTGCTATGACAAGACTGATTATTACTTAATTAGAATGGTTGCCAATGCGATTTCTGCTCAGATACAGCACATAATAAAATTGCTGAAACATTCCTATCCTAACTTTTGTAATCTTTTGTTGAATCATGTTGGATATTTTTTTCACTACTTTATTGAAGGATGCATGGACATCGTGCTATTAGACTGGTGAGACTGAAATTTACCTTGGAGGTCAAACAGGGAGGTGACATCCGTTGTTTTCTCAGAGGGAGCTTGGGTGATGGGCTGCAAGCAGGAGCGATAGCCTCGAAGGATGGCTGCCATGAAGCGGAGGAAAGCTTCTTGGATCTCCAGCTCAAGAGTGTGGAGGCTCTTTCCTCCGTAAAGCTCACTGTCAGTCATGGTGTGGTCCATCTGCACATCATCACGGTTTAACTGGCAACCTTAAAGAAAGAGCCCAACAGAAAATGATTTAAAATCTAGTCAATGCTTAAACATGATTTTCTGAAAACTGTGCAAGTCTTTAAAGATTGGATGGCATTACACCAGCAAACTACACAGCCTCTGGTAGTAAATGCCAAAACATTACAATAACAAAAATACATTTCAGTGTAATTTCAGGGTTAGTACTTTTGCCAACATGTGACGCAAGTGGATGAAAGGCACCAGAGATTATACATTTTACCCACTAAAGAGTTCAGAACCTTCAATTTCTGCAGAGTTTTTGCAGACATTCAATCATTAGCTTGGAAGAGTTCAGTGTGAATCAAAGTGGTGCAGAGATCCTAAATTTGACTTACAGTATAAGTCAAATTATACTGTAATAAATATAATTTGACTTATAAGTAATCACTCAGTGTGGCGAAAAGACAAGTAATATTACATCATTAGCAAGATGTTCTAGCATGAAGATCACAAGTTGTTTTGTATGTCATAGTGATCTCTGCTTCCTGTAAAGTCAACCATCCAAGATGACTCCACAGACTGATATAGAGATCTATATTATGCAAAAAAAACACTTTGGAAAATGACACAGCGTTGCACTGGACTCACCCTCTGTGAGCTGCTGATAGAGCTTATTCAGGCTGTTCAGAAGATGTTTACAGGCTCTCCTGGGTAAAATTTTCCATGTTAGAGCCTTCTTTTCGTCTTTTCTGAAAGCACACCAGATGGTTTTCATTGCAGGGGGGAGGACAGTGGAGAAATATTGGAAAAAGATAGAACAGGTTCACCAACATTAGAACTGACATCTTAAAGTGTGTGAGCTGATGTGGGAGGCATGTGTGCTCTGTCGAGTAAAATGCTTCACATTCCAGCTACACTCATTATGTAAGAGAGGCCCCTACTGACAGACTCTGATAACCTTGTGGATAACTTTCAGAATTGGATTAAACAAGGAGAAATGAGTTTTGGCAGGGTATATTAAAGTTGATCTATGACATGCTGTCTGCAGTGAGAGGTCACTTACTGGGAGATGGTGTTGGTGTCCAAATCAACACAGCTGATATCAGCAGGAGGCACATAAAGGTCAAAGTATCGGGAATCCAAACCCACGATAAACGGGCAGGGTGCGCTAAGAACATCTGCCAGGGCCAGCGGACACAGGGGGATATAGGGACAAGGCCAGTGGAAAGGAAAGATCATCTGACAAGAGAGCAAACAAATCCGTAAAAATCATACAGGCAGTTCCAGTCAAAAGTTCAAAGACACTGAAAATTGGTATAAATGTCACATTAATGGGAATCTTTCAATACTTTATTTGCACCATATTTTTATAAATGGAATGATGACATGAGAATTAGTTGCTCAAGTTTGAATTTAATGAGGATTTTCTTTAGTCCACAGAGGTTCAAAATGGTCCAGTTCAATTATCTCAACCAATACTGATGAAAAAGGCAATTAAATATCCAGGCAGATTTATCGTAAAAGTTGCAGACCAATGTGGATTCAAAAACATCCACAATAAATTTAAACGTGTGCACACACATCCAGTTTTTTAAAAAAAATTATAGCTGTTTATAGTGGTATTTCCCCTCCATAGAAAGAAAACCCAGTTCAAATGCATTCATCAAAACTCAACATATCAAGTGAATGTAAAAGTCTTCACAGAGCTGTAAAAGCACATAATACATAAAACAAGGGTCGATTTGCATAATAATTTATTTTTATGCATTTATTTTCATCTCATACATATGCAAGGATTTTAGAGGAAAAAGTTTAAGAGTGCTCGGACATCAATAAATTTGACTGTGACCAATTTTTATTTCTATGTGAGTAACCGCTCCATCTCAACATTTTTACTACCCTCATTCACAGTAAAGATCATTCCCTTTTGTGTCTTTATCATTAAAAAAATAAGATACAAAGAACCAAATGCTTACAGACACAAGAGCCTCAGTGACACTGGTGAGAACAGCTGGACGTAAGGAATGAACCAGGATCTTGTGCTCAGTGACGGCCAGCACGAGCAGAGTGACTGCGTTTTTAGGCCCCAAATTCAGCAGGAGTGTGGAGAGACTCCCACCGCTGCAGGAAAAAACAAAAAGAGATTTATTCATTGAGACAAAAGAAGTACCTGGTATGTTGTCATTACATTATATTGTAATTAATGTTTAATTCTCTACCTAAGAGGCAGTGGAGAGGACACTGGTTGGCTCAGAATCAAGCTGTCATGTGGTGACAACTATGGAGTACAAACAAGTTAAATAAATAATGAGTTTACACAAGTAAACACAAGTTTTTGTACAAACTTTAAGATTTCGAATTAATAAAGGACATGCAGGATTGATAAATTACATAATAAAGAGTAAAATTAATGTTCTTACTGCACCTGGACAAGGATTCTTGGCCTCTGGATGGAGGGAAATGGAACATTTTTCATGAAGTGAGATATGTGCCTGTGAGAGACAGAGTAAAACATAATAAAGTTGCTGAAATGAGTGACAGTAAATTATCTTAGTTGCAAAAAACCCCCAAAAAATACAAGTAAAAAAATATAAATCATATCTGCTAACTTTTCAATTGGCAGTGCATGCGGCCCAGAGATGGAATATCTGTAGAGGAAAGTGAGAAAGCTCTTGAAGGACTGGAAGAAGGGCCAGTGTGAGAGTAAGCAGATGCTCTTATTGTTGTAAACATTTCTGCTGCTGTCAGATCCAAGATGACAGCTCGGCAGGCCGAGTTGTGAGCGCTGACACTCCGAAAGGTTCTCCTCTGGGTAAGGCTCATAGAACTGGATAGCTGCTCCGTACACCTGCAAACATGCGATCACAATGTGAGCAAAACGACCTGCTTAAAGTATGCACACTCATAAAAACGACTAATGAAGTAGCCAGTGGACCCCTGAGAAAAATCCAATAATTTCCAGTTCTCTTTACAGTTTCATGATAGAAATATTCAGCATAATATATTGTTATCCTCGCTAAGTTAAAGATTTCTACCCTAAATAAATGAACAAATCAGTGTGTGCATGAGGCATCGTGACACTAGCCTGCAGACAAGACGTTGCAGGCAAAAATAAATGAGCACTCAGGCATTCAGTCTTGCGCACCAGCCACACTGCTGCAGAAGACATTCATTATTCAAAAGATGGGCTACCCAAAAATCTTTTATGCTGCATTGCTTACAAAAGCTAACAGCCTTTTAGTATTCCTGAAACAGCTCTTGGAACACTTTTGATTCCAGTCAGACCTAGAAAATGTATTAATATTGTCTGTCATTCTTGGAAATACTGCTGTAGCTCTTGAACAAGCAAATGCATTAGAGAACCTAATACAGTGAAAAAGGCAGACAGGGTAATAGTTAACTTTAATGAGGCGATTAAGGCTGAGTGCGTGAAAAAAAACAGACACAAACTGCATGGGGACTCTCTAACACATGCAGATGTAAATGAAACTTAAGCTAAAGAGAGAAGTGGTTTCTTAAACAATATTGGTGTGAAAGTTTGTGATTATATGACAGCCCACACAACTTCAACAGAAATGTTTTTTTTTTTTTTTTGGCAGGTTGATGGTTATACCTTCTCCCCAGAAGCACCCGTCAGTACAAATGTGGAAAAAACAGGCAGAGAGTGTTTGGTGTGAGCTGGCCAACACTCAATCATAGCCCCCATGGGCAGGCAAAACATGGGGACAGACTCAGGCAGTGGGAAAGACTCATAGTCCTCTTCAGGATACCTGCACAACAAACCTGAGCACAACACAGAGAGACAAAGCAGGGTTAAGACTGCTGTGTTTTTACCATTCTTTACTGACAAAGAAGAGCATATAAATGTCTTTCTTTACCTGCTTTGTATGCAATTGTGTTAGCTTTAGCAAGAGACTTCTTATAGCAAAGGTAGACCGAAGATCCCCACTGATGAGTAAAAACAAAATATAACAGATAAATGAAAAGCTGCAATAGTTTTATACTCTTGGAAGATACACTTGACATGCCACACAAACTTTTTACACATTTTGTCACATTATAACCACAAACTGTAATGTTTTAACAATAAGGAAAGTTATACAGATTATAAAAAACACTTGTATCAGGTGTCACAGGTGTATTAGAATGGTCTAGTCCAAATAATATTGAAACTGAGAATCTGTAGACTGACTTGACAGTTGATTTTAACAGACATTCGGCATCCTGGCCTAATGTTCACCAGCTTTGAAAAGAAAAATATGCAAAGGGACAGAAGTCAAAATGTCTGAAGCAGCAACTGCAACAAAACTTATCTGGATCCACAAATTACCGGCTCAAACGGGGTGAATAGAAATGCAGGGCACATTTTCAGATTGTATTTTATTTTGACAGGAGATTGTTGCCATATAATCCAGATAAACAGAATAAAGTTTATGGTTGTAACATGACAAAAATGTGACCACGTTGGAGAGAAATGCTTCTGCAAGGCACTGTAAATCCGGATAATTTGCAGTGTCTCACCATGCTGCTGTTGAGGTTCTTGTCCACCTTGCAGAAGGTGTGAGGAGGCGTCTCTCCCTTGCCAGGTACAATGACGCAGATGTCGGTGACAGCCAGGGAGGTGTGAGGCTGGCTCTTCGGGGCGCGCCGGTACGTGACGTAGATGCGTTGGGAGGACGAGCTGCTGATGTTGGCGGGGCGGCCTGAGGGCGTGGTCTGAACGATGTGGCATCCAGGCTTCAGCTTCTCTTTCCACTCATACAGAACACTGAAACACAATGTGCGAATATTTAAACAGTGTTTTAAGGCAGATTAACATAGTCCAAGGAAGATAAGCAATTAGAGGTGCTGTGTGAGTAAAGAGTCAGTGAGTGAGGATCACTCCTTACCCGAGATCTGTTAGTGGAGGCTTATCTCTGCCTCTCTTGTAGCACAAGAAGATCTGTGGGCCCCGAAGGCTGGCTCCATTAAGCTCTGCTGAGAGGCCTGAGGGCGTGCTCTCCACACAGGTGAAGCCCGAGGGCACCTCTTCGCCGAGGGACCGTATCACTACAGCAACGTCAGTAATAGGGGCTTTGGGTTTAACAGACTTGGTGCAGGCATCATCAAAGTGCAGGTCCTCCTCCAGGGGCTTGAATGAATCGGTGAGGCCAGCAACCACAAAGTAGTCGGCGACACGGGGCCCTTTATCCTCCATCATGTCCCATTCCCACACTATGAGCTGGAGATCAGAGAACAGGGGAGGGCAGAGGGGATTATTATACATTTTTCTCACACTATACAAATTCATTGCAGCTTTAGAGGCGCAACAGCTTTTTATCATGACAACATAACTAAACTGAGCAGTCAAAGATGGCTAAATACATGTGTCACCTCCACGTCCCTCCAGGAGTTGTGTCCCATCCCTCTTGTCAAGCACTGAATCAATACAATGAAGGTGTGTGATGGGCATGACAGTAATCCGAAATGAAACTGCAACATCTGACCTGAAGTCTGAAACATGCTAATTATTTGAATATAATTGTAAAGCTTTGTTTTATTAACTGCAAACACTGTATTGTGTATTGATTATTAACTTCAGAGTTTGGTTTCTCAGCTTCTTTCTCTCATGTTTTAATTTTGCTATTTTTCTTCAAGTTTTGTTTTTACATGCTTCTTGATTTTGGTCATGTAAACACTAAACTATACCAACTACAAAAAATCTATGTAGCTTAATATGCATGCAACATCAAAAAGAAGCACAATAGGGCAAGAAAACAATCCGCCCTTAGGGCATTACAAATGTACTTCATATTACAGAAACGAAGCAGGGAAATGTAGCATATGGAAGCATTTAACATGCATTCCTGTCTGGAAAAACACAATATTTCACATTGATATGCGTTAAACATTTCATGACCTATAGAGTCCATGACTGATTTGGTGAAACAAAACGCATCTCTTAAGAAAAACAGAATAGAAAGCACAGTGTTTTCAAAATTTAAACTGCTTTCTGATGGTTCTTTTATTTCCAAAGCTTGAACCAAGTCAATGTTAAGGCAGCAGTTGTTCTAGGCCTCAACAATATCATAATACATGAAGGAAATATCAGAAGCGCCTATGAAACAGCTTGTTGTGTGTTTATCACAAAGAACAGAGAGAATCCTGCAAGCCCTCTCAGCACTGGGTCAGCTCAATCTACTTCATCTGAAGAGCCTGCTTTATCTCTTTCAGCAGTCCCCCCACACTCACTGCTTATTTGTTGTTTTTCCATAGCTGCAATACGTGTGAGTTGACGTAAAGTGTTTCCCCCTCCCTCTGTGCTGGCTGTGTCACTTTCAAGCACCCTGGACCTCAGGAAGCCGTGGCCTCGCTTCACCTTTAGAGGACTTGACGCCTTTGCAGGTTTCAATCACAACAGAGATACTCCACAAAGAAAATTTAGCCAGGGAGCAAATGGGGATAGAATTAAAAAATTTGACTGAACTCATTACAGAACCTTCCAAACAATTTGCAAACATTGTTCAACTCAATATATCCGGTATTTCATAATAGGCTTGTTTACTGCAGACTGGAAGCAGCGGTTTTATAAATCATGACTCATCAACGCTAGAGCTTTCATAGCCCCATAGGCTCATCTGACATTTGTTCCTGTCCAGTCTTCCCTTTGTTTGCTGATGAGTTTTTAATTCTGCAATCTAAAGCTTTGAGACCTAAATGTGTATATGCTTATGTTTTTGTTTATATTAAATTATTCTTTAGTAGCACTACAAATATTGTCTCACGCTGTCGGCAACAACAGGCAAAAACAAATGATGCCTCCTTTAAAATGGCCTTGTTTTCATGTTGCACCACTAGTTCTATTTTTAAGCAGTATGAGAACCATACAATCATTTGAACAAACCCACTAGTGAAAACATGTAGTTCTATACTCAGATTTGCCTACAGGAATTATGATCTTTGCTGTTTAATGCATTTAACAAACCATTCCTATAGACAATGCCAGTTCAGAAAATGTTAGCAACGCAGTCATTTCTGATCCTTTATCTACACCAAACTCCCAAAACACAAACCAGTCAATCGCAGATTTATTTGAAAAAAATGGATTGTAACATTATATTTCAAATAAAAGGTTTATTATAACCTTAAGAATTTTAGAATAAGCTAGTGAACAATGTTATAAAGAAATTGAATCGTCCATTTTTAACACTATGCAGCAGATTTTGATAATCAAGAAAAATCCTTTGATGCAAGTGAAGAAAAAACAAGTAAATTAACAAGAAAGCTTTGAAAGCTGATTTTTTCTAACACTGACTAACACTTTTACTTGCAGGTGTTTTTGGTAATTACATTTTTTTTTGTCAACAAATTGACTACATGATTATGAATCCTTCATGCATACAAAAAATGTCCCCATCTCACTTTTTCCGAGGCAAAAATATTTTAAGTCCGGTTAACGAAACCAAAGAAATGGGAACAAGTTATGTATTTGCAACTGTTGCTGTCACCAAAGCGCTAAAATATAAAATTTGAAATAGGTTCCTTGCAAATTTTCATGCAGACATATTGCAGATTCCTATTTTGCTCTAACAGGAAGTTGAAATTCCTTTTCAAATCATGAATGCATTGGTTGATCAGTGCTGAGAATCTACTTCATATTAAAAATGACTCTTCAGCCCATTCACCTCGTCTTTAGTGTGACATAACACTAAATCCACTGTGTAAATACCTGCTCTCAGTGATTACTGCTTAAGTGCTCAGACAGGCACAGATACACATCTGGTACTACAACAGATGTGTCACATAATACTTGAAAGGTTCTGGATTAAATAAAGATGTAATCTCTGCTCTCAGCGACCAGGACACTGACTTCATCTATTCCTCCCCCTCATCAGGAAGCAGAAGACTAAATTTATAACTAATCCTCACCATGGCAACAATATTAAAACTAAGCAAGTCAAGTGCTTGTAGAACATTTCTGCCTGTGCTGCTCAATCACAAACACAATTCTGATTGCTCAGTAATTAGAGTAGAATATTATTATTCCACACGCTTTGTTTTATGGTGTGATTTTATGAGTTTTATTTCAATAACAGTTTTCCTTCTAACTTAATTGAAATCCTCAAAACTGCTTGTTCAGTCTTCAAAACATTGTGCACATCAAAAAAGCTGTTTCTCGTTTTTTTGAACATGTTGCAAATGCTTTGGCTATGAACATTTATCTGCTTTTTGCACATTTTCATACGTATGTCATGTTGTCCAAGATTAATTCTCTGTTAAATAGTCTCAACCTCCACAACATTTAATCATAAATTCATAGCAGCAAAATGTTTGAACAAGTTGTCATCATGTCAAGATTATTTATTTTCATTAGATGTTTTTTAAATAACTCTATCCTGAATTGGCAAATTGCTCCCAGATGAATTCTGACTTTTTTCCCAATGTAGATATACAGGTGAAGCTTTAGCTCAACCTATAATTTCTAATTATAATTTCATAATTTTAAGACAGACAGACAGACAGACAGACAGACAGACAGACAGACAGACAGACAGACAGACAGACAGACAGACAGACAGACAGACAGACAGACAGACAGACAGACAGACAGACAGACAGACAGACAGACAGACAGACAGACAGATAGATAGATAGATAGATAGATAGATAGATAGATAGATAGATAGATAGATAGATAGATAGATAGATAGATAGATAGATAGATAGATAGATAGATAGATAGATAGATAGATAGAGAAAGCTTGTGTTCATCTATGTCTTAATAAGGGTAATCCTGTGTTGGCTCAGGACTGGCAGTGAGTGACTCATGGGCTCCACAGGAGCTGCAAGTTTTTCATTCACCACATTTTTCTTCATATTTTCACTACAAATAAGGACATGGCGGATTTCCTCTTCTTGCCAGCTAACAAACCAACTTCCCCATTCGCATCCACTGCGTACATGAGTCATTTGCAACTGTTAGCCAAGCAATAACTTGTGAAGCACTTCTGTCAATTAGTTCCAATCTTTCATCACAGTTATTTCCCCCTCACAGAGACTTAACACCAAGGGTTCTCCAACGGCGTCAAGATGTGTCGGCTCTCTTTCTCAGAAATAATTTCACATGGTTTTACATCACTTTGGTCATTTTAGCACGACCATAGCAACGTAACTAGATATGTTTTTTTGTCATTTCTACTTTTAAATAAATGTACTTGTAATTTACCAAATAAATAAATGAACTAAATGAACAAACAAGCAGTCACAAACTTTATAATATCCGTAACAATTTAGCATTCTTTCACTAAAATTTATCTGGACAAAACTGCAAATATTTATCTTTGAAAATATTTTGAAGCAAGCTTTGAACCTGGACCTGCTTTGAGTTGTATTGTTGTAATTAATGTCACCCATGAGACAGAGGCAGCGCCTGCTGGACAGCCCGGCTGGCCAGGGATTAAAGAGCTGAACTAACAACAGAGGGGGCAGGGAGGATGGGCAGAGGGAAGCACCACAACATGCAGGCTCTTCCACTCAGCATCTGTTCCTTCTTAGCCATAAAGACAACCTTCACCCTCATCGGCCATTTGCCTGGCTCCTGTCTGACCCAGAGGGAGACCCAGCTCCTAGATGAAGAGACCACACACGCCCAAGATAAACAGAGCAGAGAGATGAGGGAGAGCGCACTCCAAGGTGGACCTCGGAGTAGAAAAAAAAAAAAAAAACGCAAAAGAGCCGCGCTGGATTAGCTCGCAAAACCACGCATCGAACACAGGATGAACATCTGCATTGAATAAATAATCAAACTAAAAATATATGACTGGCCTAAGCGTTTTATTCTTTGTCCAGATTTAACAAAAAGCCATTTTACGCAGCATCAACACAGGATGCAGCGGAGTACGCCTTCATTCGATGGACGCACAACAAATCACAGCGAAAACATCACGTTTCTCCTGCATGTTTGCACAAACAATTCCACCTCGTCGGTACATTCGATTTAATAATCCGATATTAAATTGCTATTAACGGGATCATGTCAAACGTAACGTCCAAACGTGAGGGAATGTGATTTTAGTCCCCACGTTGGAAATAAACAAACATCACAGATTGAAACAGTATATAGGTTTGCGTTTTTACTCGGCAAAATAAACATTTACTCACATCACGAAGACAGAAGGGTGATCTGCGGAATGTGATAGCGCCTCTGGATTTCTTAGGAAAAATAAAAACGCTTTGCTCTTTGCTCACTTTGACTATTGTTAAAAAAAATTCTGCTTATAATCTTGTTATGTCAGTGTGTTAGAAAAATCCCGCAGAGAATAAGGATCCAAATAAATACACGGCGTAGAGCAGAGGAGCGTTTTTATCCCGACCTGCGCTGCCCACGTGACTGATTACAAACCTCACTGACGTCACTGATGACAGCGCTGGCGGCTGCGAGAGAAACATCGGCGTTTGAGGCGGTGGAGAAACAGTTGGTGTTTCTCCACAATAATTCTGAGAGAACTAGAGAAGCTCATACACGAAGCTGTTTATTAAAAACAGTCCACCGGTTCATTCCTTCCATCATGTTTCTGCATTAGAATGTGTGAATCAGCAAATGACAAAAATAAAGTTTTGAAAAATGCCAACACATACTTAATTATCATCCTCCTCCACAGAGATGCGAAAATGAATTAGTGACACAAAACCATTTGAAAATTTAAATCGTGAAATTTTACATTGCAAATATTCATAATTCACTGCTATGTCATATTTTCACTAACTCCTGTCCAATGCTTTGATTTTCCTCCATGACAAAAACCAACTGGCATTTTGATCAAGTGCACCTGAGAGTTATGATTCAAAACAAAGTATACAATTCAACACATATGTTTTTGATACAATACAACAGAACCGAGATCATCAGAACACCAGCTCAATTGTCCTCCACCAAACCTCACAGTCCTTCTTTCTGGTCCTGGATCATTTTTGCATTATGGTTATATGTCTACAGCTGCTTGTTTTAAAGTTAGGACTGCTGCCAAAGGTTGAGAGCAGTTATCTGACTTGCTCTAGATCATTTTGAATTATTTTCAACATGTAAGATTTTTCAGGAAGTGGAGTAGAAGTCAATGAGATCTTGATGAAGGTAGACGCCAATCTTCAAACAACAATTTTGAAAATGCTACAGCATTTTGAACTCATTGAAATGTTTGGTTTCTGCCTTCACAACTAGCATATAATTTAACCCGTAACCCGTCCTGTAATTTTTCAAAAGCTTTTGGGCTGCAGGGGCCTGCAAATGAGAGAGTTAATTACAACTTATGCTGGAGTTTTTGTCCTCCACTGTTGTTGTGCCGTCAGCATTCTTAGATTACAAAAATCTTTTTCTGAGTTTAAGGCAGTTGTAAGTTTGATCCTGGTATTGGAAGTACCTCAATCTTTCAGACAAGAAACAACATATCAACATCAACTTTAGTTCATGTAAATATTCAATCTTGGCTAAAAAAGAAGAATTAAAAAAGAAGGAAAACTAGAACAGACATCAAGAAAATAGTTTAATGGAGACCTGAACTTTGAATTAATTTATATAAATTTATACAAATTTTCACTTTAACGTAGCACAAGTTTCAGTTTCCAAATAAACAAGAAGTATACTCAGCAGGTTTTAACATTCTCATTTGATGCAGAACGGAAGAGCTCAAAGCAACCTTTCCTGGTGTGCAGCCTAATACTGCCCCCGTGTGGTGAGTCTGAAGACATACAATTTGGTAGGAAGAGTACACAGAGTTCAGACGGACTCCATCTTATTGTGTCATCTCTGATGTTGCAACTATGTGGCGTTTTACGATGATATATGTTGTTTGTCTTTCTCACACTATCACGGTGTGACAAATATTGAATATATTAAATCTTGTTACTTTAAAAATATTTACCATTATATTCTAAAAAAATATGTAAATACTGGTAGATAGTGTAGTTATATTTTATCATTAATACATGCATTGCAACATAAAACCGTAAACTATTTTCTCATGTTAATCAAATTTGACTTTAAGCAGCAGTGAGAATAGTTCATGTGCTTCTTTCTGCCTTAACTTACAGTGGTCACGGACTATTTTAGCTTTCTTCTCATCAATTATGATGACTGCATTAATATCTTCATGATGTAACATAAATAATTTGCAGCAAAAGCCCAAATTCAATGTCACTGAAATAAGACTTTTAATTATTAAGAAGAGACAAGATTTTATTCCTTTGCCAGAAGATGTATTCAAAGCAATGGCATTGCATGGGACACTCTGATCTCAGGGTAACTCAGCATGAGCTGCAGATCAAAAACAAAAGAGCAACTGTTCTGTGTGCGCTACTTTCCATGCAAGTCTGAGAAGATGACAGTAATTGAAATGATGCGGCTCCAAACTGGTCCAAGAAAAATAGTCTGTAAATCAATTCTTAAAAATCTGGATAAGCAAAGTAATCCTGAAGTAAAGTGATGTTACATAAGCAACACAGTGACATTTGATGCTGAAGGAATGCGATGTAAAATTATTTTGTATTGAGTTAAAGAATACAATACTGAACGTGTATCCTCAGAATACCTGCATAGCTTTCACATGGGTTAGTCGAATAAGGCTTATTTCTGCTACACAACACAGTATTCTTCATTTCTGTGTAGCACACAACTTTGAAAAGAGGAAGTATTTATAAATGTATCTTATTTTGTTTGTGTGATTTTTTTTAATAAAACATGAAAAGAAAATCCAAGGTTCCACCGAGATTTGAACTCGGATCGCTGGATTCAGAGTCCAGAGTGCTAACCATTACACCATGGAACCACGTGACCAACAACACATACTTTACGGTATTTGATCCAAATCACACAGCCGGTGGTTTTCCCATGTCACAGTACATTTTAAACCAGGGAAGGTAACGTAATTTTTCTACCAGAAACATAGAGATAAAGTTTTTAAATAATGGAAAACCTCCGAAAGTAAGAACAGTGCTCCTCCATCATGCTGCGAGACTCCATCGTCCATTGCAAACAGATGTGATTTAATTTTAAGCCTATTTTACGTGTGGTTTGATGTAAATGACTGGTTAATACGAGAGTGTGGCAGAAAAGAACGATATGTTGCGATTACTTTTACGCTCCACTTTAATCCTTCTAAGTCAAGATCACCTACTGCCATCTGGTGGCCAATCATTGGAATTGCAGAATCTAGGATAGTGGGAAGGTCTTTCATGTTTGATGTTTGTTGCCTAATTCCTCTGAAGTTATACAGGGAAGAAACACATATTCCTTGTCAGTAAATAAAATAAAATAAAATAAAATACTGTAAACACTGTATGTGTTAAGACTAGTCTATAATACATTTTCTATCAAATAATTTTGTTCTTTGATCAATAATCTCTTGGGTTAAATTTAATTAGATAAGCTTTTTAACTACTGTTCTTTCCTTAATTTGCTGAAGGACTTATTTCTATGCTGAGTTATGTCTGTCAAGGTACATTTCCATCTGAAATTGGGTTCAGCTGGATACAGAGTTGGTGAAAATCATAAGCCTGACTGAGATGAATACTGATTATACACTTAGAGTAGCGAAGCATAGATTCAGCTCTGGTCTGTTGGATGCTCACAGTTCCTGTCGCAGGACGTGACAACAATAAAGATCTGCAGCTGAGCTCTGCTATGGATTTAGTCACTGCAAAGTGCAGCCAAAGGATGCATATTTAGATGAAACGAACCCTGCTGGCAGGATTTTCTTTAGGGATATCCACAGTGAACGACATTTGTTACGAAAATATGCATGATGAAAGTCAAACATTTTATACCAGTCAGTGATTTTTTTTATTTCAGAAGAATATAAAATATCATTCAATCTATCTTTGTGACCATTTTTCTTAATTAGGATTTGCTTTTAAAGAAATGCTCATCGAAGCTAAAGTCATTTTATTTTACATTTCATGGCTGCTACTTACATCCCTTCACCAAATGGAGGAGCTTTCCCATAATTTTTGCTCACCTTATGTATTGCAGTTTAATGCCATGCTGCACCACTTATTTAAGGTTGTTTTACCAAACTTCACAATCTGCCAAACAAGTTTTTTTTATTGTGGAATAACCTTTCTAGAGCCTTTGTCATAGTTTTATCACAGTTAAATATGTTCTGCAAAACTATTTATACACCTTAAAATTTTTCAGATTGTCTTGTTACAACCACAACCTTGAACAGATTTTACTTATTTATAATTAGTATCACAGGATCAGTGCAATAAAGTGCATTCCACATTAGCAAATAGTGAGTCAGCTTATGGAATTTAAGCTTAGTATAAATATCACTGCTCTGTAAAGACCTAAAACTTTTTTAAGCCAGTTTGTTTACCAACCTGGACAGTTGTTCACCTAAAATCATGGCATTAATCAAAGAGGCAGTCAAGAGGCCCGTGCAGAAGCACAGCTTGGATAAGACAGTCTGTGGAATTGACAATTTTTAGTTGTGCACTACTCAAACTGGGAAGAAGAAAGATGAGAAGTACAATTTTCAGTTTACCAGAATGTAGAAAAGAAGAAAGTGAATGTCATCCTGAACTAAAAATCCCTCCAGTTAAGCATGGTGATGGCAGCATCAAGCTTTTCCTCAGAAGGGTCAAGGAAAATCTGTAAATCTGTAAATGTGTAAATTTGGTGCAGACATTTCAGTAGAGCTGCAGCCACAGATGGTTCGAGGTTATTTTCACAGGTATGCTAAATACAAATGCATGTCACACGTTTGAGATTTTTAGTCCTTTAATAACTTTGAAAACCATGTGTTCTTTCTTCCAATAAACAATTATGCACTATTTGCATTGGTCTGTCTCATAAAGTCCCAAGAAAATACATTGAAATGCAGGAAAATTAAATGAACAAATAGAAAAAGTTCAAGATGTATGAATGTTTTTGCCAGACAGTGTCAATATTTTCATTTTTACTTCATGTTTACTTAGGAATAGTTAAATACTGAAGTTCCACAGCTTGTCATATACAATCAACAGACATCTTTCAAACAGTTTTTTTTTTTAATTACAAATTTTTGTTTTTCTTGACAATAAGTTGCGATGAATGGATTACAGCAGACCAATAAGATAATTTGGTGAGTTTTTCTCAATTTCCATATTACACTCTGTGTTAAATTTCAGCGACACCTGGGGATACATTTTCCAATTTAAAAACACCACTGATGTTTGAGTCGCATCACTTACATCAGGCAGGCATCAGAGAAATATCTTCAGGCCCTAAATAAAGAAGAATGGATGTCTGGTAATTTAAAGTGTTTGACTTGAAGCTCAACTTATTCACTACAAGCCCTACTATAGACGTGGCAGCAAAGAGAAACATCCCTAAAGTTGTTTAAGAAATGACATTTTAGTAAAATATGCGATTGAAAAGAAAGAATATGTAAAGCACATCAAAGAAATAGCTGGAAAAATGTCCAATAAACTCCTAATGCAATTTGCAACTATTTAGTGCAACTGTGCTGCACTACATGAAAAAAAAAGTTCTGCTTTAATGATAAACAAACACAAAAAACAGACACAGATTAATAGATGGCCAGTGCAGATGTCTAACAAACATTAAATGCTTACAGAGGAGAACTAAAATGAATATTATGCAACAACACATCTGGTGAAATTCTGCATTGAAAAATAACCCAGAGAGTTCTGGACTGGCTCAGAAAATCCAACAGATTACATTTGTTTTCCCTTGTTTTTTATTGTCATAGTGACTCAGTTGAAAGACAGTGCCAGTTCAGTTTCATTAGTTATGAAATGGATGTGATACATTTAATTCTCAGATCATTAACTTTTATTTAAAACCATTTTTTCACAGATTTAGGGGAAATTGTTGTTGCCTCTGACTTTTCAAAGCAACTCAAAGGCATGTTGTCTATTTCTGTATTGTAACATATGTTGTAACTATATTTAACAAACTAGAAAATGAATATCTTCCCTGAATTTTATACAGTGGATAAAGACAAAACTTTCATTTGATTCTTTTTTCCCTGTTGTCGGCTCACTTCACAGGTTTTTCTAGTCACAATCATAGGTTGTTGACGATGGCATCTCTATCATTTGTGTCACTCTGGAAATCTTAAAGATGAGGAACCGTAGAACAGCACTCAACAATCTCTATGAAGTTTCAGCGATGATAGAAAACAAACTGAACAACCTATTTGAATGTAAAACTTTTACACCCGCAAATATGTAAATATTGATTCTAAAATCTTGAAATATAAGTAAACATATTTTAAAAAATCAGGTTTAAATGGTCAAATATTTCAAACTGTTGAGGCAGAGACAGATCTTTAGTTTGTTGACAATTTAAAGTTGAATTGTGCAAAAGAACCAGCCTTTATTCCCGTGGACAACGGTTGTGCTGACAGTAAAGTAAACAGTTGGGGGAAAAAAGCTATAAAAATTTTATATTGGTGGTCAAAAAAGGCAATACATATATTTGCAAAGCAGTGGATATAATCACAAGAACATAAATTCTATGTATTTTAATATCTTTTCGATTCAAAATAAAATCCCTCAACAGAATATTTCTGTCTGTGAATACGGCAGCTCTGAAGCTCCTACCGGAGTGAATTTCTTCTCTTCAAAACTCGAATCAAGGTCCGGACTGTGAGGATCTGCTATTACAGTTTGATTTCTTATTAGAAAGAAAATCTCACAGCAGCAGAGACCATACAATGACAACGGGAGTTCACTGACTCAATAAAAGAGAGAACGAAGAAATACAGGAGCTAGATCATAAGGCTGCACTACATGAGGAGTCTCGTTTTTATTGGTTAGGAGGAAGAGTGGGGCTTCTGTCTGCAGCCAAATGGCATCACAAATCCATAATGGGTGGGCTTAAAATGCATAAAAAACAGTTGATTTGGATAATGGGAGTGAAAACAATGTGCAAAAAGCAGATAGGGAGCGTGGGTGAGACGAAAATGGTTATAGAAATTAAGAGGATGACTAGAATAAAATGGATGGTAAAGAGGATAGCAAGGAAGGATGAAGAGGAAGGGAGGACAAAGGGAGAGTGTGATGAGTGTGATGATGAGTAAAAGACAAGGGGAAGATGACAGGGATGCAAAAGGCTCTTAAGTATCGATGCAAATAATGAATGGAATACAGGGAGGTATAGGAAAAAGAGACTGAGACTGTAAAGAAGAATAAGTTTGGTTATAAAGATGGGTAGGTGGAATAAAAGGGGTGAAAATGAGAGAAAAAAGGATGAAAGGGATGAAGATGGAGTTTTAAAGATGGATGAGGGGGATAGATCAAATGATAGAAGGTTATTAGGAGTGTGATGAAATAGAGTCAAAAGGGTATTTTGTACTGCTTAATGAGTAAATTGTGTAATCTGAATTTTGTTTTCCTCATCCTCCTCATCCTCATAGAGGATCACAAAGAAGGATGAGGAAGAATTAGAAGATGGGTAGGATGGGACAACATTTTGAAGAGATGAGAAGGAGCAAAATGAAAATGGATCAAATGTAGGGATGTGGAGGTTGGATGAAATAGAAAGGGGTTACTTTTTTCTTTTATTCCAAATAAAAAACAATAGCTAGGCTAAATGACATTTTACACAAATAATTCAAAAAAGGAGAACCAATGAGGATTTGGTGCAAGAACGGAGAGAAACAAGAATTGCTGAGTGATAAGGAAGATTTGTTAAGAAGAAGGACGGGGAGGATTGAATTGAAGGAAAAAGACTTGTACAACAATGACAAGGCTGGAGTAAAGAAAAAGAGTAGCGATAAGGTCAGGATGAGATGATGAAGCGACGCAGGGATGTGGTGTCGAGAGCAGAAGATAAAGTGATCTGTGTGTGAGCGCCAGCTACAAGTAGACTTGCCAAGTGATTAAAGGCAGGGCTCAGGCATGGCTTTGCTCCCAAACCTAAATTAGCACATTAGCTAAATTTATCAAGGAAATTTATTTGTTCTTATTCAGTGTATTAATGTGAATGAGACAGGTTTTTGGTGACAGAAGAGGTATTTAATAGTAAACAAACTTAAGTACCAAAACAACAACCAGATTTATGTGACAGCAACTAGAAAAAAATGTCCTAAAAGGACAGTCATGGGAGGTGAGATCAACTGTCACTATGCTGCTCATAGATGTGGTGATGTCCAGTGAAACGCTGTCTGTGCATCGATTGTCAACATGTTATTGCTTCAACAGAGGGTGGAATGGATTTAAGCAAATTCAATCTACTAGATAAAAGAATTAATTAGCCTGATAGGAAAATAAAAAGAGGTTTTAGAAACAGATTTCTATCACACATGAATCCCCTTTGTAAATGCTTTTGGGTCTTACATTGGTCAGATGAAAAGTTATTTTTAATCTACAATTTGACAGAGAGAATATTTTAAGTGACTTCAAAAACAGCTCACAAAATGACACAGCTAATCTCACAAGAAGATAAATTGTGTGTTATCTACATCGGTGGGTATCATTATCTGATCATGCTCATCTTTTTATTATTATAACCACATTAATAAAAAAAGTCTTCAATAATATAAATTAATACGTAAAGCAAAGAGCTTCATAAATACAAAACATAAAAGATTGAAGCATCCAGTGACCTTAAAACAGAAACCAAGACATTTGCAAGAGAGAGAGAAAAAAAAAAAAAAAACGCCTTCACATGGAAAACAACACAAGATTGGAGCACTTCATTAATACGAAGAAAAGGGTCAAACGTTAGACCGATTCTGTGTCTGTAAGTCTCAATAAATGGAATAAATGCATGAACACTGGCGAGCTGAAAACATGTCCAGATACACACGGCCTCGTTAACAACAAAACTTAGCTTACATTAGTATTATGTGTGTGATCATTACTGGATAACAGCGAATACAGAACCATTACAACAATTTTCTATTTTACCCATGCTTGCTCAAATTCTTTTTCACAGTCCCATGTCGAACATTTAGGCCACCGGAAACATTCCTTCACTTCTGAGTTCGATGAGCAGAGCTTCTCTTTATGCTATCTTCTCTCCAGAACAATAATTTTGGTTTGGGGGGACATTATAAACACTCTGCTGCTCTTTTTAATAAACATATATCATGGGATAAAAATGAGCAAGAGAACAGCTCTCCCTGTAAATAAACTGTCCACTCAGTTCATGTGTCCTGCTCTCTGCAGTGTTCGGAACAACCCTGTTCCACATCAGGAGGTCCATATAAAGGCCAGGCAGCAGTCTGAGTAGTCAACTCCATAACAAAATAAAACTGGCGAACAGTCGCTGGTGAGTTGGACACTTTTTCCTCCCCTCATTGTCCTTCAAGGTCACAGGAAGAGAGCCAAAGTGAGTCAGAATCGTGGCTGTCTCTCCATCTCAGAATCTCAGCACCAAATCGAACACATATAGAGACAAAGGGAGAGCCATTGGCTGAAAGTTGGTTTCCTGTGGTTGCCAGGCCAGGTAGAGGGTGTTCACCCTAAAGCAAGGAACTGGGGCTTTCTGGGGGTGCCGGGGGTGTGTGTGTGGGGCTGTGGCGCATGGGCAGAATGTCGTAGTGGCTAGGGATGTGGCTGCCACAGGAAAGGTCATAAGGACCCTGGGAAAAACCTGTGGCCATGCCATTGGGTCCCTGCAGGATACTCACAGTGGGCTCTGCAACAGTTTGAGAGAAAAGGTAGGAAAAAACAAAAGAGACGTACGTTAGTAAGGTCAAGGAGAAAGGTGAAAAACTGATGCAAGAAATTATGCTAATGCTAATTAACCAGCTAATCTCACAATCTGTTAAATTATGCAATCTAATTTCCGATCAAAACCACAGTCAGTTCCAGCAGATGGCCGCTCACGTAGAGCCAGCTGCCTCTGCTGGAGGTTTTGCAAGCAGTTTTCCTTTAGTTTCACTATACTTGATTGATAACATGATTCAATCAGCTCGGTTTCCATAGAGAGAAAACATTTTACAGAACAGCTTATGACCTGAAGTTAACTGCACTATCTAATTGAAATTGAAATATGTGGATTAAACAGTCTAATATTTTTATGAATTAACTATCTATCTCTGTATATAAATCAGATTTGTTTGCTTTGTTTAGTGCCTTGAGTTGACATTTGTTGAGAATCAGTGCTCCTGAAATAAACTGAAGTGAAATTGATTAATGTATCAACTTTCCATTAAATCTTCACCAGTCTAGGGAACAATCTTCTTTATTTCCTAGATTAATATTGATTACAGACAATCAATGACTATTATGAACTGTTATGAGTTATGAATATACTTGAAAAGCTAGTAATAAACCTAATAATTGAATGTACAAATTTCAAAACAAACTGAATTTGTCTCACTAGTTTCTGCTAATTAGTGGTTAAGGGAACAAAAACAAATCACCATTTCTACTGTAAGGCTTGGGAGAAAGAAAATAAAAAAGAAACATTGAAACTGAATTTAGAACTGTGAAAACCTTTGAGGCCAACTATTGGTTGAGCATACAAGCATTATAAGTAAATTATTTTAACAGGGACTTCATGGGAACATCGATAAAGTGGATTTTTCTTTCTGATAAAAACAGTTTTTATATGTCCATAGAAAAGACAAACTTGCTCAAATAAATTAGACAACCACTTCCTGTGCTTAATCCTCAATGTTCATCAATTACATTTTAAAATGACCAGAATACACCAGTTAAAGTAAATAAAGAAAATCACTGACTGCAGTGATGACAGGTTTCATCACTGCAGATGAAACCTGAAAGCTTCCATCAAAATCAACAGCAAACTCACCAACATCATAGACGTTCCTGCTCACGGTGCCCAGGAGAGTGGCGGTGCCTCCAAAGGGGACTTCACGGTGGGAGGGGGATTTCATCTCCACATAGCTGCTCTCTGTGTGCTTGCACGCCAGCCCGGGTGGGTCTCTGATAGTGGCGTATGGATTATCACTATTCAGCGAGCAGGAGCTGTTGTTGTTGCACATGGAGCTCTTTATGTAATCTGCAGTTGCCACAAGACAAGGATTTATGCAGCATCATAAAAGATGAAGCGATTGTCACAGATTCATAATGGTGGTATTAATACATGAATTTAAGCCCATATTGGAGAATGGCGAAGAGAATGGCAATGAAGCTTGTTGCCATTCTGAAGCTGAATTTCTTTTGTCTGCGACAGGTGACTAATGGTGGTATATAGTAATAAGAGTACAAAGGCAAGAGAGTGGAAGGCTCATCTCATCTATAACGGTCTCATCAATCTGATAAGAGGCCTCATTAGAGACCGCAGCAGAGCCCTCTTCACACCCCTGGGTCTCTCGCATTCACCATCGACTGCCCAGCACTGAAGACAAAATGACGTATCAGGCAGCGAGCCATGGAAAGCAATTACTATTCGGATAAAAGCTGAGCCCACCATGAGCCTGTCCAGACTGCAGAGACTTCTTGTATAAATCAGAAAAAATACAGATGTGACACTTTGCGGCTGTGAAATTAATATCAAAAGACATAAAGAAAAAAACAAAACAAAAAAAACCCAATCCAAATAGAAAAACTGGCGTATCAACTGTAAAGTGAAAAGATTCTTTTAGACATTCCACCTGGAGATAAACTTTAAAAACACCTGAACACTGCATACTAAAGGCATCAGCTTACCTTTTCGTGATGCTTTTTGTGGCTGTGCCTCATTCTGTTGAACTTCTGAAAATGTGAAACAACAAAGGCAAACATTTTATACAGAAACGCAGATTCAGTTTCAGCTTTCAGCACATTTATGATTTATGAAATAAGGTTTGGCTGTCATGCTACAATTTTTCATATTTTCTTTTATTTGCATTTTATTGCTGCACATATAATTAATGATACTTTTTTTATGAGCTCATAAAAAGTATCAGTCAGGAGAAGAGTACAAAAAGTTTTACAGCAGTATTTATAAAAATAAAGACTGCCCAATGAGTGAATGGTGACTGTTCTGTCAAGAAGAGTGACATTTTTTAACATTTTCAGATACTAGTGAGTTTTGACTCAAATATTACAAGATACTAAAACTCAAATTTATTTTTATAAAAATTAAAAGGGATTTTTTTTTCCAGAATGCACATTAGAATTGCTTTCAAAATATGAAAATCTAATTTTAGAATGCCCTAGTGTCTGAGACAAATGAACCAATGAACATCCAGTTAATCTGAGGTATAAAATACTATTTTGCATTCTTCGAATTAGCTCCAAGCTACTGCTCTTAAACAGCATTTTGACTGACTTTATCCTCCTCACTGGACAAATTATCATATTATCACCTTCCTAAAATAATGGCCTAAGACATCTTAAATTACTTTTGGCAAAAAAAAAAATGACTTGGGCCATTATTTTAGGAAGGTGACAATATAAATCTTTGCCTTATGAAACTAATGCTGCAGCTGTGTATTTCCCTATTCATACTATCTTTTTGTTTAGCCATTGTACTATGCATTGATTTCTCCTGTCTAACTTTTGGCTGTGCTCTCTGCTGCCTTATGAGCACATTCTATCTTTTATACTTTGTGAATATTTCTCAACATCAAACATGGATTTGAACGTAGTCATCAACAGTTACAAGCCTAAGCAAGACTGAAAAGGGAAAGTTACATTTTCTAATACACAATTTAATGTGCAGTGTGTTTATGGCAAGCCTGTTAACCATTATAAATATTCTAAATGTCTGCCTAAATATAACATAAAAATGTTCCAACATAAATTTGTAGCTATGAGAAAATATGTGAACATTTATCATCAGCAGTTTATTTAAAGGTGATATCAGAGAAAAGTGTGGAATAACAATCAGGTTTGAGCAGACAGGGTGTTTTAATTAAGGAAGAGCGATCTATCACAGTTTGATCTTCAAACATGTGTTTGAGAGGTTTTATTATCGCACTGGCAAAGGAGACTTGTCAAGGACGCCAGGAAAAAAGTTGCAGATGTCCATCAGACTGCCAATGATGATGGACACCAAAGTTTTTAAGAAAGTACTAGTAATAGGGTCTTAAATATTTATTAAAAATACACAGTATTATGTGGGTACTTCAGAAACTTCTACTTTTTGAGACTGAAGTCTAAAAGGAGTTAAACCAAAGTAATGCTTTGGTTCTAGCATTCCAGAAAGTGTAACCTTTTAAAACCTTGGCATATTTTGATAACAATAACAGGGAGACAAGACCTAAATCTAAATTAAATGTGGTAAAAAACAAAACAAAACAAAAAAAACACACATTTTTATCTCCTTAAGTTGGTTTCACACCACAGTTCTGCAGACACACACACTCAATCATTCCTTTTCCCCAGCCACACAGGCTCAGCCAAACAATCAGGGCTTAGAAACAAAACAGTGAGCTCCCAGATAAGCCGGGATAATCTCCTTAAATATTAGCAACTTAATAGTCCCATTCTGATTTTATATGGAGATATGTTTCCCCAGTGCACAACCACTTCCAAGCAGGTATCAAATGCTTAAGTGGTGAACCCCTCTCCTCATCTTGCCTGTTGTGTACAGGAAAGCCACAATTTTGATCTTTCTTCCCCCCCTCCCGCCCCCCAATATTTACTTAATGGCTTTTCTCAAATTAAGATCATGAGAACATTGCAGCTGTGGGTTTGCAGTTGTGCCGAATTTGGCATCAAATATTTTTCTTGGTATCAATTTCTTGTCTGACATATTAGTATTGTGACATTTCCAATAGGCATACTATAAAATGAGTGGACTGTATTAATTACAACCAATTCTATTCAGGGTGGATCAACAGCTACTGTATTATCACATTGTTTAGGTTCATTCATAATTACAGAACAAAGACAGTTACAGTATACCAGATAATAAAACAAAATATGTCACATACATCCTTTTTAAATCTCTTCTTGCGACATGAGTGAGCATCAAGCCACTAAAGAAATAATGATAAAAAGGGTCAAAAACATTTTAAATAAATGTAACGTTTCTTCAAATAAGCAAAGCAGGATGATTTTAGCATTTATTTGTTTACTAATCTAAGATACTTGTTACTGAGCAGCAGCTGCACTTTTCTATGTGCAAACCGATTTCATCCAGTTGCATTTTACATATCGACAGATGAACGCTTGTTTTTCTTCACAACCACAGCTCTTCTGAGGCATTTATAAAAGGCTGCTCTCCTGATTAAAAAATGCTCACACTTTGTTGTAGGATTTTCTATAATTAATATCCTAAGTGTGCAGCGCTTGACCCATTGTAAGTCATCATGGTCACTTGGGGAAGTGAAGGAGGACTAATGAGCTCATAGTGACCCCTATTCATCTCCACTCCGGTTCTCCCCCTGTCCTATCCGCATATCTTATCAAAATCAGAGCAAAGGTTATGTTTAACAAGAGACCCCGGCTTCATCTTCATTCACAGCAGGCGTCCGGCACTGAGAGGTCTGCTTTAATGACACGCACGTCTTCGCCCCTGATTTGACAGTTTTGCTCATTTATTGCTCTGAAATCCAAATTCAGCCTATATGTGGTGTGACATAATAAGTGAGAGTAGAACTGACCTATGTCGTTTAGGTTGCAGAAGGCTCTCCATTCTGAGGCATTTCGGCTCTTTAGGGTACTTGACTGCAAAAGAGAAGCATATAACATGACAATCGCTTAATACTCCAACATGGTATTGTTGGGTGAAAAAAAAAAAAAGCAATGACAATGCCAATGTTGAAAGCTTGTACTTTGAGAGTCAGGGTCCCATCAAGATTGCTGGAAATGGTGGAGACCACGTTGCACTGGGCTACGGTGGGGTAGCTGGGGTTGGAGAAGCACTGGGTAGTGTTGCTGGTGCTGTTCTGGTTCTGACTGATCTCTGAGGCGCTGGTCCTCATCGCAACAGTACTGCCACACTCTAAAATTTTACAGGATGAGAGGGTTAAAAGATAATTTTAGGTCCAATTATTTGTAACAATTACATCTTTATGTATTTTCACATTTTGCCATATTAAAATGTATTTATTTTAAAAAATTACAAAGTAAAACATGTAAAGTGGAAGGAAAATAACACCTAATTGTCAGATTTTATTATTATTATTTTTTTTTACAAATTATAATCTGAAAAGTGGTAGAACCTGCTTTCTCTGAAATTATAGATGCATGTGTTTTGAGATATCTCTGTCAGATTTAAGCATCTAAGGACTAAAATATTTGACCATTCTTCTTTGCGAAATGTCAATCTCCATCAAATTGGATGAAGAGCAGCTTTGAACATCAATTTTAAACCCTTGCAGCAAATATTTAATTGGATATAGGTCTGAACTTTGAATGGGCTTTTCATCTTGTTACAGCTCCTGATGACTGTTTTAGGTGTTTGTCCTATTACAAGGTGAAAGACAAGCCCCTTCTTCTTAACCACTTGGCTCTGATCAATTCTCTGATTAGTCTTGACCTCCTTCACCTCTCTGTTTACATGGACAGCTATGTCTTAGTGGATTTGAAGTTGTGCCATATTCATTCCATATTCAGGCAATGGCTTGAACAGTGCTTGTGAGACGCTTGGGATGCTATAACCTAACTTTACAAACATTGGTGTGTTAAGTGATTTCTGAAGGTAATTGGTGGCACTGGCCTTCAGTTATGGGGATCACAGTAAAAAGATGCAAAAATAAAAAGTCATGCCTCGCTTTTCATATTTTAAACTCAGTATTCTCTACCTTCCACTTTAGCTGAATTATTAATTACTACTTCATGTTTTATCTCATATAACACCAATAAAATGCAACAAAGTTTAAGCTGTTGCTTGTCAAAATATGAAAAAGTTTAAAGGTTATGAATACTGTGTGTAGGCACAGTGGGTATATGTGTTTGCATACATGCACTATGGTCTGTATTGCAAGCAATTAATAAATTTCGCCATGATTGAAAATACTTGAAATATCTTACCTGAAAGAGAGTAGTCAGTGTTGTTAATGTGCATTGCCTGTGAGTAGGACACACTAGGCTGGATCTCCTGGCCCTTGTCCCTCTGTCTCTGCCTGTACCACACAAACACACTAAGCATGGCCATGAGGATGAGAAGCAGAAAGATGATGCCCATGACAGCCCCTGCAGACTGCCGCTCTGAACCACGCGCCGGGCTTATCTTGGTGTATGGGTTCAACTCTTCCATCATCAGAGCTGCTACACAGAAAACAAAAACAGTGAGTGCCCTAGACTATATGTACACATATGTTTCATCAATAATCCAGTGCAACTTCTCCAACAGCTCAGTCACCTTGATCGCAGCGGATGCCTTTATATCCGGGGCTACAGTAGCATGTTCCAGTCACATAGTCGCACGTTGCATTGTTCAGGCACTCGCACAGCAGCTGGCAGCCATATCCAAATGTACCAGCAGGACACTCTGCATGTCAAGGGAGTACATTACTACATTTATCAAATTAAAACACTTTGTGAACAGGAGCCAAACACATCCACAGGGTAATTTTGCATAGAAATAAAAATGTGGCAGGCACACTCAACTCTGCTCGCAGCCCGTCCCAATGAAGCCTGTTCGGCAAACACACTGGCCCGTGATGTGATCACAGTCCGCGCCATTCTGGCAGCGGCAGACTTCAGAGCAGTCTTTTCCGTAGAAACCTGAAGGACAACCTGGTGATAGAGATGTATATAATGGTTGGATGGGGTGGGAGGGAAAAAGCAAAAGAGAGTGGAAGACAATGTAAAGAGTCAAGGTCATATCACCAGGGAATAGAGAAATCAATACAATTCAATGTCACCACAGCATACTCAATAAGGGACTCTGTGAATAAATGGAAATGGAAGATTTCCTGCTTCAGCAGAAAATCTAGTTATGCTGTGAACATAACTTTTTGTTCTACAACATGAACAACACGTAATTGAATGTTAGGACTGTGTGACAAGAAGAAAAACAATAAAAACAATGTTTCTTATCATGCACAATAGCATGAGCCTGACTCTACAAACAACTCTGGATAAACCCTTAGGGTTCTGCATAATGGCATTTAAATTACAGGACTGAAGCTGATGAGCTGCACTATCAGTGAGAAAATGACTGGAATATATTATGAGCAAAATGATGAAGTGACCATTATCTTTTTTTGATGTTGCTCGTCCTAAAAAAAATTTAAATGGAAACTTCACATCATACATTAGCCTCGAGACTGGAAAACATGCCTCCATAACATCCACTGCAGTTCTGCAGCTCAGCCAGTAGATGACACTGTGCATCTTGTTTCTGGTTGTGGGGAGTGGGGTGGGGGGGGGGGGGGGACTCACGCTGTGTGCAGTAGAGACCAGTCCAGCCAGGGCTGCACCTGCACTCCCCATCATAGGCACTGCACTGGGCTCCGTTGTGACAGTTACACGAGTTGAGACAATCAGGACCCCAGTGCCCAGAGGAACACGCTGCAGATGCCAGAGACACAGTCATGATCACACTATGTGTCGCACCCTTAAACATGCATGCATAAAGCACAAAGCACATGAAGTTGGAAAATTCGCAAAGCATTTGTGAAATATATCTGTTGTCCCATATATTCTGAAAACCCTGTATTAACAGCTGAAAATATTAGCCACAGTGTTTATGATTATATTCAAGAGAAAGTAATGAGATTTTTCGCTTCCATTATGGAGTGTAGTATAAAAGTGTTGCCCCTGCCACACCTGCAGCTGCACACCACCAGTCAGCTGACTGAAAGGTGCTACCACGATTTTCCCCTGACAAGATTTGGGAAGAAAATAGTCCAGACAAATGGAGAATAGAAATTGGGATTGGTCGCACATGAGGAACACAGAGAGTACTTTTTGCAAACTTCTGCAACTGTTTGCAGACTCTGAACATCTTTCAAAAATTTATGGAGAAATGTCCGGCTTTGTAAAGTTATTGTTGTCCCATAGATTATCCAGATTACTGCCTTCACTCGCCATATTAAGAAAGTATTGCTTCTTTTTTTTGTTCTGACTGATACCTTAGATTTTGTGAGATTATTCTTAGATTTTGTAACATGCCTGAAAACTGTGGCTTTTGCTAAAGAATGCAAATAACCAAACATCAGGATATTTACAACAGCTGACAGGTATGTACATAAAAAGGTGCTTAAACAAAGTGTAAGCTTCTCCATATTTATGAAACCAGCATATTGCAGCTCTTTTTATTTTTCTCTACTGTATAACTTGAATTGTACAGGATTAATGTTAACAAATATACAAGGTAAAAGTTTTGAAATGATTTATCATGGTCTTTATTTTACGTCACTAAATCTTGGCAGTCTAACAGAAGTGTCTAGATTTTTGAGAGCCACAGTACACATGCACACACACAATGCATATCTGTTTTCCATGGTGAGCTGGCTCAAAGTTGTCTTAATGATCTTTGGCCTGAGGTGCAGTAAATCAAAGAGCATAATGCATTACTACAACCATTTAAGCTAGCAATGTGTTTTACATCATCTGGAGCCGAGGGCATTACTTGTGGATGAGTAGGGTCATGAAGATGACTAATGTGTATGAATTTAAACGTATGAGGGGAAAATAAGAGTGGGAGACAAATGATGAGAACAAGGGAAATGTGTAAAGCAGAAAAAAAAAAAACAATTGAGGCAGATATGGTGAAGTAGTACCCTGCGAGCAATCATCTCCGGTCCAGCCGGGGAAACACTGGCAGAAGCCGTCGATGGGGTTGCAGGTGCCGTTGTTGGTGCAGAGGCAGATTTCTGCGCAAGCCCCGCCGTACCTGCCGCTCGGACAGACTGCAAAATAAAAACAAAAAGCAGAATAATAAAAAAAAAAACACAACAATAATTGGCCCCTCTAAAGTTAATGTAATTACACAGGTCAAAGATTGGTCAAAGGTATGAGCACAATTACATAAAATCTGAGCACTTTACTGAGAGCAGGTGTACTACAACAAAGACTTCCACAGCATCTTAGGTGTAACATTCCCTGTAATGCATTATATTGTTCTATTGGAGTGGACATGAAGTGAACTGATCTGTTTAGACAAAAGGAGGAGTTAATCACTGCCTCCTGTGGCAGAACTGCCCTATTTCTACTCACTAGAGAGGAATGAGTGATGCGCCACAGAATTAAAATAGACTGTGTACACAGACCCCTGTATAAATATTTTATGAAATTAATATTTCAATGCACTCTGGCAGTATTCTACAAAATATATCATATTCACTGAAACGTCTATTGTCTTTTTTTATAGGGGCGGGGGATGAGAAGAGACAAATTGTGCCAAGGTGTATCGGAGCGTGAGGATCTGGGAGCTGTGACACCAGAAGGCAGATCAAAGGTCTCATCTAAAGAGAATAGCCCGGTGTTAGAAATATCTGATAAGGTGGCTGGCTGAGGAAGAGCGGGGTCGGACTCATTTTCATGAGGGGGGATTTTAATGATTGCATTTCAACTGGCATTCCCCTCTTCTTGAGAGCTCTTTCAAGCTCCTTCAAGCAGGTTGTCATTAAGCCATGAGGTTGACTCCCCCATGCTGCTTTGGGAGAAATTCAAACCTCAGCTCACTAGGAGAGCTTCATTAGGCTGGGACTCTGCGTGCTGGACAAAGGACAAGTGAGGATGCCAGTGGGGATCAACATAAGGAGAAGAACATCCATGTTGTCTGCCACCTCCGTCCCTCGTCGCCCAATGGCTGCTCAATAGTAATTATAGCCATGACAAATTAGGGCCAGCTCTCATCTTCACTCACTTCTCTTCCTTCAGCTAAGCTTTTAAACTTTTATTTATAAGATACTGCTTAAAGCCATGAAAGAGAATTCAAGACAATCCTCTGTGGCTTTCTGTGATTTATTAAAAAAAAGAAGTGAATTATTAGAAGTAAAAATCTGTAGCACAATTGCATGGATCCTTTTCAAATATTTGTTTTAATTGAAATTTTGAGTACACAAACAAGATCATCTTAAACAGGTGAAACTTAGCTTATAAGATGGACAGAGGTCAGACAAGAATAAAAGTGTAGCTTCTTTCTGTTTTCAATATTTAATACAGTGTCCTTGCAAAAGTGTTGAGGTAAGCTTTTCCACAAACTTTATCAAATTTAATTGGTTGTCATTAAGTGAAACATTCCAAAGTTTCACTTAGCAGTAGCAGTGGATAATTGATAATTTTTTAGGACTGATGTCAGGTTTTGATAATCTGTTCCCAGGAATAGACTAAAAAGTGTGGTCTTTTAGCCAGTTCTTTGCAAAATATATGAATCTCATTTGGATGGAGAGCATCAAGTTATATTATAGATTTTTAACTCTATTTAAATGTGAACTTTGACCAGGCCATTCTTGCAAATTGCTCCTCTGATCTAAATAAATCTATAGTATCTCCTGGTGTACATTCACAGTTGTTCTCATCTTCAAAGGTGAACTTCTGGCCGAGTCTCAAATCTTCTGCAGCCTTCAACAGGTTTTCCAGGATTTTCCTTTTCTGGGTTTGTACACATTTTTCCTTTAGAAAATTCCATATTTTTCTGGACCCAAATTAGCATATTTTATTTCTGAATTTCCCTTTCAGTTTTCTGGATATTCATGTTTAAGTTATTGACCCTGAACCAACTTGAATGGCAATGGAGTCATATTACTTGTACCTTTTTGGTATTTGTGCTAATTTATATCAGCTTGCTAACTCTTATCAAATGAAGAATAAAGTTTTCTTAACTAAACTTGAATTCTTTAAAGCACACTTTGTCACTTTATAAAATTTGTGTAACAGTAGTTTTAGTGGGTTTTTTTCCTTTTCGATCCAGTTTAAGAAACATGTCAATTTCAATCTAAATTATGTTTTTTTTTTTTACTTTTGAATGAACGGAAAAAGTCAGAATGTGAAAAATCCAAATACTGGTGATAAAAGATTAAATCAAGAGCGGGCATATTATTTTACTTATTAAGCATTATTCCTGAGAATGCAAGAAGGAAACAATGTTACATTTTAGACAAAAATTTAGGTAAAAGAAGCTGCAAAAACATTGGAAATGCTTTTTCCCCCTATGATTCCATCATCAGCACATTTTTCTACAAAATGGAATTATCATCAAAACAATACAGAACATAGAGGTTAAAACTAATGTTACAGCAAGATGTGTTGTGCACATGATTCGTCTTTGTGCATTAATGAAAAGATTTTACATGCACCTCCAGAATCAGATAAAGATTCTGCAAAGTGTATTCATGCATCCTTTGCCTGAAAAACTCAGCCTGAGAGATTTTTGTATGGATTGCGGAGATACTTATCTGATGCAAAAAAGTTGCATTTTTAAATTTACACTTTTTACTCTAAATACTTCCCAGCTTAGTAGTACCTCTGACTGTAGACATGTGCATCAATTTCTAACTGAGAAAAAAAAAAAAAAAAACTTCAAAGAAAGCTGCAGGAAAAGGAATAGGACTCAGGAAGCTACTTGCCTTGGTTGCACAGGGAGCCCGTGAAGCCAGAGAGGCACTCACAGTGGCCAGTGACATGATGGCACGGGCCGATGCTGTGCACGCACTGCGGACACGTCTGGCTGCAGCGGTGCCCATAGAACCCCGGAGAGCAGACTGCAGCCAATGGAGCGTGGCGGGGGAGATGAGAGGGAGTCAGTCACCAATGTTGATGAAACAAGAGGTATATAATTGTTGGACACAGCATGACAAGAGCGATCAAGGGAGTAGAGAAAAATCAACGCCAGAGGAATTAAAAGCAGAGGAGACAAGGAGAGCGCGTGAAGGGGAGGGTGAGAGCAGTAAAGGCTGTCATTATTGTAATCACCGGCATTTTATCTCCTGCCTCAGACAGAATAGTAGGAGTTAAGAGAAGTGCAAAAATATTTCTGTGTCAAGAGATGAAAGCTGCTTGATAATCTAAAAATGTCAGGAATAATAAACAACCCTGTCTTGATAATGTGCTGAAAGAATATGAATCAAAAGTAGAATAAAATGTTACTCTGCTTATATCACACACAAAGGTCCTAATCTTAGGAAATTGGAAACTGTAGCTGATAAGTCTGCTGGATGCAACAGTGGCTTGCCAACATATTTACACTTGAACTTTTTAAAATTATTTTGTCAAATCGCAGCATCACAAACCTTCTAGTATAAATGTTACACACTAACACAAAGTAGTCCATATATGTGAACCATTGGCCACTGTAATGTTGGTTACTTTAAGGTTGGCTTCAACCTTAGATGTTTAAGGTTGAACGTTGCTAAAGTATGATACTGCCACCACCACTTTTCATAATTGGATAAAGCCTTCAGGATGTTATATTTCCTGCACAAACATAATTTTGCATGAAGGACAAATAAATAATTTTGGAAAAATCTAACCAGAGCATCTTCTTCTACATGTTTTCTGTATTACTTACAGAATACCTGTGGCCAAGTATAATTAGGACTTATACTATACATATTATTATATCTTTCTTTCTACAATGATTTTCTTCTTGCCAATCTCACATCAAGACCAAATTTGCAGACCAGATTGGCAAACTGTTGACAGTTGTAAATTGTAAACAGTTTTTCCCACCTGAGCTTCAGATTTTTAGATGGAAAAAATGTGGATCAGTGTTCCATATGTTGGAAACTTTTCGATGTCGCCTTTTAACAAAACTCTTCTTTAAACTTCTCCACCACTTTGTCCATGACCTACTGTACCTGCTGTGGTCTTCATCACGTTGTTTGTTCTCTAAGGACTACACAGAAACACTGCCTTAATACTGAGATTAAATGCTCTGTTTGCTAATTAGGTGACTTCCAAATGCAGAATGTTTCACTGGACTTTATTAAGGACTAGTTAAAAAAGCTGTGGCTTTTTTCCAAAAAATGTCATGAATTCTGCTTTGAAATAATTAGGTCTGTAGAATTAATGTGACTCAGTTTTCAACAAACACTGTTTTTATGGTGAATTGAGGAAAGTTTTTCCTCCAGTGTAGATATTCTCCGGAGAGAATCAGCTCTTGGATAAATAGAGACCTGTTAAAAATATAACTGAGTGATAATGAAGTCACAGTAGCAATATGACAAGCCATTAGGTGTTAATTGTAACGTAATTCAGGGAACAGGTGTATAGCATATTACCAAGCTCTGGAGAACGATGCAATGTCTCAAATGAAATTTAAAAAATCACACACACACACACCCCTGCACACGCATACACGCAGATTGCGAGTTGTAATCGTTTTACCTGATGAGTAAATTACTTGGGTAAATATTGAATTTGTCTGAGTGATTATTTTGCTCGAGGGGCAAACACGCTCACGCACAATGCATGCGGCTTGTTTAAGCTTCTCTCTTATTTTCCACTCAAATTGATGTTTACAGGTTTGTGGTTGTGAATTTCGCTCCCAATCAGTAAGCTCCTCACTTGAGAGCGGCTTCAGACAGAACCCCCAACCCCCTTTTTTTTTCCAGACAGCAGAGCGGGTGCTCCCAGTAAGCATGCCCACTGATGAGCCTCAGGCAAGGACCGAGTCTCCCACTGTGAGCTGGTTGTTAAGGACTATGTAGGAGGACGAGGGGTGTGCACGTATTTACGTGTGTGTGTGTGTGTTTGAGGGATGCCTTAGGGAAAAAGACACTGTGATTAAGTGATAGCTGTGATGAAGGATTTACACTCAAGCCGCTCTGACCGACAGCTGAGTGCCTCTCCTCAGTTGGCTCAACCTTTAACAATTCTTCAAAGATCAAAACAAGGTCAGCGCTGTGATGGAGTTTGTTACCGTTGCAGCTCTCAGCGCCAGCCAGTTATCGCTCAAAGCCTTGGATCAAGAGAGGTTGCCTTTTTTATAGAGGAGGAGGCTCACTTCTTTTGCACGAAGTCCCTCTGTATCCAGGTGCGCACACACATGTGCCGTCCTCGGGAGAGCAGGACCCTCCGTTCTGACAGGAACAGCTGACTGAACAGTTGGGTCCCCAGAAGCCTTGTGGGCACACGTTATCGCAGTGGATTCCTGCAGGCACATTAACAAAACGAATATTCAGCGGATGCAAAATACGAGGGAAAAAAAAAACCTGGTTTGCTGCAACATTCTAAATAGCCATCTGTAAAAACACATCGTTAACAGGGACAGCATTCACAATGCCTGATATTAACAGATCTGTGAGGTTATTCAATCACCATGGATCCTCAAATGATTTTAGTCCTGAATAAAGCATCCAGTTTGAAGTCTGTGCGTGTGTGTGTGTTTTTTTTTAAACCTAGCCCATCTCTCACACTCCATTTCTCCTTTCCAAATGTATTTTATATTTGATCTGACTGGGGCTCCTTGCCAGTGCACTGTGTTGATTAACAGGGTTGGGCCTCCAGAGAGTCCCAGCTTGTCTCTCATTCTCTTTCAGTAAAGCTGGGGTTGTGTACAGAGCTAAAGGGAGGTACTCAGGCTACAAGAGCACAGACTGGAAGTGTCACAGGGTGTTTGGTGCAGCTCCAACCAACAATTGCAAAATAGAAAAAGAAAGAAAAAAGAAAACACGGCATCCACACAGGGTTCTCGGTGTGCACATGAATGCATTAGCACATCCATCAGAGCAGCAGCCTCTTAGAAAAGTGAGATGAAAGGAGAAAGTTGCACGTACTGTGCTACATACAGACATGTAGCTTCTTAAAGAGTGATACACTTTATGTAAAAGCAGTTGCATGCACGCGCTCACACAGACATACCCAAACTCTCAAACAGTCATGTTCGAATCTCATTTGAAATTTCCTTTGAATAAGAATATCAGAAGAAGGTGTAGCCATTAAAGCGGCCTTGGCGCACAACCTTTGAATTAAACCTGGACTAAACTCTTGGGAGCCATGTTATACTGTAACCACGGCACTTTAGGGCAGGCATGGAGGAGTAAAAGGAAAGGAAATGTTAGTGCTGATGGGATGAGGGGGTGATTTAGACATGAGCAGAGCTGTGGACATCAAAAGGAAAGCAAGGCATGTGTTATTCTGGGCCAGCCAGAATAAAAAAAACTGTGACTGCCTTCACTGTGGGAAAATGAATGCAGACAGAGCATCATTTTTCTCAGAGTAATGGTGACAAACAGAGGGGCTGTGCATCCCTGAAAGAAAGAGTGAAGAAAACTTGAACGGAGGTCTTTTGCTAAAAAATTGTCAGAGGTGCGACTGCTCTTTTTTTTCTTTTAGCTCTGGCTCACACACATAGACTCACTTTCTTTTTTCCTGCTATAGTAAACAGTGCCTTGTAAAATTATTCATATTCTTTGAAAAGTTAAACGTTTTGTTACGTTGCAACAACAAATTTCAGTGCACTTCAGTGGAATTTTATGTTATGACCAAAACAAGGTAGCACAAAATTGTAAAGCGGAAGGAAAATTACACAACAATCCCCATGAGTCATTACTTTTTTGAACCATTTTGTTTTAAATGCAATTGAAAGCTTTCTGAGTATTTTTCAACCAGTTCTCCCACCTAAAGGTGAAACATTTTTCACATTGCTCTTTCAAAGTATCTCAAGTAAACAATTTGAAATTTTGCCATCTGCACTGTGTGTCACTCCATCACGAATACTTCTACATAAACCAATACATAATATCTGCACTGGGTGTTCAGCTTTGTTTTCCTTGAAAGTTAACCGCTGCTCTGTCTCATCTTTTGCAACCTGCAGATTTTCTTGACCAATAGATGAAAACATTTCCAACAGCATGATGCTACTACAAACGTTCAATCATGAAGAGAGTGTGTTTAGGATGATGTTATGAGTTAGTGATTCAACAAACACGATTTTACATGTTGGCCAAACATTTTTTACAACTCTGCATCTTATACATGTTTGTGTGTCTCAGTTTGTTTAAAGGTACATTGAGGATGTCTTACTACTTTCTTTTGACTGTTTTTATTCTTTTCACTTTTCTGTAAAAGTCACATTTGTAGTGCACTAAATATAGTTGTACTGAAGACAGATTTTCCCAAATGAGCAGTGGATCTCTGCACCCCCACCATAGCTTGGGCCTTTAGGCCGTTTCTGTTTAGGCTTGCAGCTGTGCCATAAGTTTCAACCTTCAGATTGTCATCTGTACAGTACTATTTGAGATTTTGAAAACTGGCTGTGGTTCTCGGTCCTCATGATGGTTTTTGTTCATTAATGACACCTTCACAGAAAAACCATATTTACACTGAGACAAAGTTACATAAATGTCACACTATTTAATCTGCTTGGATGATTTTTGAAGGCAGTTTGTTGCATTGACTTCTGTTTAGGGACATTAGAGGAAAGGGGGCCAAATACATAATGCACACCAGACTTTTTTTAAAAAGAGATTTTTGTAGGGCAGTGTGACTTTCACTCTATTTTGGAATTATGAGGTCATTTGTGTTTCTTTTCACATAGAATCCCAATAAATTATGTTAGATTTGTGATGGTCAAGTTCCAGTTCAATAAATACTTTTACAAGGCATTGTACTGGCAAAAGTTCTATACGAATAAAGATAAAAGTACTATTTTATATAGGAGCATATTTTCACCATAAATGTCTTAGTTGAAACAGACTTCAAATGTATGTTTACTAATGTTAGCAAAAACCACATAGATCTCCCAACTGATGCATTTATGCATATACAACTGTCAAGCTTCATCCCATTCCCAGACATTAAAACTAACAGCAACTTAACTGTAGAAACCTACACCAACTCTGAATTCAGCAGAACCACGAATAAGACAAAGTTTGTTTATATATATATATATAAAGCATGAGACTTTCCATAAATAGGCATTTTATTCTATTCTTGACTCAAATGACTGTACCATATCGAATCCCACAAAGTCCTCTCCTTCGCGGTTCAAGTGTGTACTTGTGCATGTTTGTGTGACCCACTGCACACTGCCCACAGCCCTGCACCCTGGTGACTCAATTAAGGCTGACAGATGGTCCCGACCTGTGCAGGATTCAGAGCATGAGAGGCCCATTTTGTCGTCTTCATTCTCGCAGCTAATAAACCCACATTGTTTCCTGGAATAAATGCCCGAAGCTCAGGAGGCTGAATGGAATGGGCTGCAGGGGGCTCACAGGCTTGACCTTTTCTCCTGAATTTTTCCCCTTCTCTGATTTCCTCTATCTACCTGGACTCAAGAAGTGGGACCTTAATTAGTATTTGACATTCAGAAACAACATATAATTTCGGAGCAGAATGTTCTTCACCCTTGCTCTGTCATTCACAATCTGCTTTAACAGCTCTTTCCAAGAGTGCAATTACATTAATGATGAGAGCCATAGACTGCGCACATCAATAGAAATATGTTTGTAACAGAAATAAATCCTTTATCCTTCCATTATCACATTTAGGTGATGACTATGAGTAGCAGTCTAAAGGCTTTCACTGAAAAATACCATTTTCTAATTTTTTTATATTTATTTAAAGTTAGGCCACAGTATGAGTTTTATCAAAAAAGAAAGATAGAACAATTGCAATAGGTTTTCAGGGAGTCCTAGATGTGAACAAATACCGCTTTGTTTCACTTCGTTGTTTCATGGCTTATCCAGGACTGGACCCTAAACAAATATCACCATGAATGCCAGAAGATTTAAAGGAGTACTGGCCTAAATACTTGCTTAAGTTGGCTAAGTTTGTTCTGCTGGGCCGTAAAAAAATAATATTAGTTGCAATAAAAGCTTGTCTGCATGCCAGCACCAATTGTTGGAGCCAAAAATAATTAACTTTGAGCTCAAGTCTTAACATCCCTTATCCTTCTACGCCACTGGCTAAATAACAAAGCGAACTAACCAACTCATTGATAAAACTCTACTTAAGAGACCCTATATACTGTATACACAGAATGACACAAACCATGAATGCTCCTGTAAATTTGTTCTTGGTGTATATCTGCGTTTTTGAGGAGTATCTGATGTTTTTGATAATGAGGCTAATTAACAGATAAACCTTAAGCTTCTTTTGATATGTGAGGACGCAGCACTGACCGGTCCATCCAGGGTAGCAGCGACAGAAGCCACTCACAGGGTCGCAGCCATCAGCATGACTACAATCGCACCGCTCACGGCAGTTCAACCCATAGGTGCCGTCCTGACAACGACAGTAGCTTCAGCGTTACGGATCTCAAGCAGAACACTTTGCAGCTGGTACATATTGACGAGAAGTCTGACGCTTTGTATCGCTTTCTCATAGAAATTGCACTTACAGGGCAGGACTCGTGACAGTGCTCCCCTCTCCAGCCAGGAGAACAAGCACAGGTGCCGTCCACAGGGTCACATGCAGCGCCGTTGGTGCATAAGCATGTTTGGTTACAGCCCAGACCCCATGTACCGCTGGAGCAAGGAATGGAGCAGTCAACACCCTGCCAGCCTTGAACAGAAGAGACATCCAAGAAGAAGAAGAAAAAAAGTTAATTAAAGATGTATTTAAAAAAACATGGAGAGGTTTTGAATAAGAAACCAAAATCGTGTTGTATCTTATCTAAAACATAAAAAAAAAATGCTTTGTTGCCTCTATGCTGCTTAATAATTAATTTGGCTGTAAGTTTATTGCTGTAGTCCATTTGAAAGACTGTCTTAATATGTTGCTACGTATGGCTGCTGTATAATTTTTCCTGTAGCAAAACATCCAACAGCATAATGTTGCCATCCCTAAATAACACACTTGGGATTATGATCGCAGGCTCATGAGACTCCTCCTTTTTTACTCTAACTGCACTGGTCAGTGGTCTATGGCCAAAGACTCAAATTTTAGTTTCATCAAACCTCAGAACATGTTTCCAAAAATCTCTGTTCCTTGGTGCATTTACAAAATGTAATTTACACTTTTATTTTACTTTTGGGGTGTATGCATCTTCCTTACTGATTAGTGTTAGTGAACAACTTGTTTTCCAGAGAATATTAACATTTTCTTACCAATTTTAAGAAGAATCATTAAAAAGGAGTCTACTAATGATCGGGGGTTTATAGTAACATTTGGCACCAAAACATGGTCATGTCTGGGATATGTTGTCATCAAACAACATACAGTATGAACAGTATGTTGTTTTACATTTGCATACAACTGTTTGAATAGATAAAAGTTCCATGATGGTTTTTATGATGTCATATAATACAGCAGTGTATTTCAGATTTGGCTTTAAAATACATGCATCTATTTATCTTAAATGTTGGGAGTTATCCAAAGCTTGTCACAACAAAATAATCAAAGGTCTCAATTTTAAATATTGTGTAAGCACAAAATGGTACCTGAATCTGCCATATATCACTTAACATGCAAAGTTTAAGATTTGTAAACCCCCTCCAAAAAAAACAGAACTAACTTGACAGGAGAGTGTGTGGTCCCTTGCACAAACTCTACTCTATGCATACACTCATTTCAGAGACAGATGAAACTGGCAATGCAGATGGTGAGGTGGGGACTGGAAGCCACACTGCATCATGATTCCTTGCAGACATTTAATTTCACTCCATATCAAATATTAATCATAGATCAACTTTATCATAAGCATTCAAAACAGCAGTGTTATTTATGCTTCTGCTGGTGAGGCATAGCTAAAACAAAATAATAGACCTTTCAAATTAAAAAAGACCTGTAAGCCAACTTAAATTGTAAATCAAAGTCCACACAATATTTCATCAATGGTTTTTTCCCCCCCATCGTATTCCTCTCCCGGTTGATCATCAGGGTGATGAGTATGACAGATTAATACAGAAAAGGTGGGAAAGGTGTGAAGGGATCAAATTGATTGTTGTAAATATATAAATACAGTGGTGAATGTGTAAATCTGTGCGATGGATGCATTGGCACTGCTGGAAGACTTTGCAGAGGGGAGAATTAGGAAGGAAAGTCAAAAGATTCTGGCCTGGTGTACTGATGCTCTCTTCCGCTTTTGGCTGTAGGGGACAGTGCAAACCCCTCTGGCATTGGATCCCAAAACCCTTTCCAGACCCCCAGAAAGCAGAGGAAGTACGCATTAATACCTTTCACTCCCGCGGGCACTCCACTATCGAGCATGCCATCGGCCCCTTAAAATGCCGTTGGCAGTGTGTTCCTTTTATTTGTTACATCATGGCAACCAAAACTACACCTTATGCATCAACACATTGATTTCTGCCTGGTGGTGAAAAAACATGGCTCAGTGAGTGCATTTACATACACCTTAATATTCATGATGCACTTTGCATTGACCATTTATGGTTGAAAGGGAACAGAACATGAGGTAGAACATTGTATGGAAATGTTGAAGTATAGCAGTGATTTATAAAGCGGTAAATGCTTTCTAGTGTGCATGTGCATGGTTTTATAATCAGATTTTTTTTTTTTTTTTATTGATACCATGTTTGTCTTTTGGGCATTTGGCCATTTTTAGCGTAGATCATATGGCAACTGAGGCCAAAACCCTAAAGCAAATTAATTGAAGACACAATAGCTGTTATGGAAACATTTAAATTTCAATTTAGATTTAGTGACTTCACATCATTATTTCATTCTGATCAAACAACTGATTTTTGTTCTATGGTCATCATCTTTCTGAAAATTGCTTATTCAAGAATAAAGGTTAAAACTCAGAATAATGTGGCAATAATTTACAGAAGATCATCACAGTATCAACAAAACCTCACAACAATATAAGAGGATCTTACTAATCTTAATGCAGTCTTACAACCAAACAGGGTCGGGCCATGCAACATTGAAAGGGAGACATTTCATTCACATATTTCATCTTTCAATCATAATGTTTCAGAAATGATGCTGTAACATTTAAAGTTGGATATGGCTTTCGTGCTGCATTCCTAAAATGTCACTGAACAACACATATGCCACAGTATTTGCTGAGTTCCTTAAATTATATCTGCATTATAGATGCTTGCACTTTACACTATACAGTTGCAAGACTGCATATATCTATGCATTTCCATTTATTTTAAATGTACCCTTATAAAACAAAGTACTTGCATAAAATACCTTGAATGTCACAACATTAATTTTATTATTTTCTTAAACGCTATCAAACATTTTTAAAGGTGACTGGAAGATTTTAGGAAAATTAACATTATTGTATGTGTACAAATGATGGTGGAAAAAATATATATATGATGAGGTGATGAGCAAAACTCTTTATGAAACTGTCTTTTGACAAAATTTCAATTATATTTATGGGACATTTAATTTTCTCACATTTTCCTTTTCAACAGTGTTGTGTTTGTAGCTCATGATAATAATATTCAATTCAAAGTTGATGAATACATGATGAAATTGCTAAGTATGTAAATGTCACACATAACGATTAAGATGACAATGTTATGACCACAGGATATAATTTCCTATAGCAACCAAGTCCTAGCATCTAATTAATTGGGAACTCGGTGTCTCTTCAATGCTTAGTTTCCATTATTAAAATTCCAGAGAAGGGAAATTTGGTACCAGGTGCACTTGGAAGTCTGATGACATTGTTACAAATATGAACGGAACAGCAAGAGCTACTGAGGTTTTAGTCAAAGATACTCAATTAATAGAAGACTAAATATTGTAGTTTCTAAAGAAAAAAGCTCTGGATGAAGTCCTTCTGGATAAGAGACAATTTAGCTCATCGCCATCTAAATTGCTTGGCCCAAAGTATGGCTAGTAATATGACAAATAGATGATTAACTTTATTATTGCTGCCTTTGTTGAAGGGTGTGTAATTTGGTGTCAACTAATTTTCTCAGCTGAGTGAAACCTCTTATTCTGACTTGCACTGCTGTTTTTAAACCGATGTTTCAGTTGATTTGAAACACTCATTATATGACGTATGGTTAATAATAATATTGCTTATTTACCAAAGTTCCTTTTTATATTGTTTTTCAACCTAAGAAGTAGTACTTTGCAAGAAAAATAAATATCACACTTTCTGTAACAAAACCAAGTGTGTTAACAGACACAGTGATCTGCTTGTATCTGCATTACAATACTGTGTCAGCTGTTGTAAATTTGTTTTTGTGTTTGGCAGACTTTTTTACACTTTATAATCTCATTTTTGCTTTACTGTTTTCCATCCTGTGTTAGTGTTCACTGGGAGCAGTCGTTACAAGACTTATTGTGGTATTAATACTGATGATTTAACAACATTTCCAGCCACATTCTACTGTAGTTATTTTTAACTTAAAAAAAAAAAAAGTATTCTCCAGCAACTGTTTTCTCTGACAAAATATGAAATATGTTAAAGCAGCTCTTCCCTGAGCTGATGTTTTGGTGCTTGGCTCCAATGTGTATTCAACACCATTTCTGACGTGTGGTCTGTTTTAATGCTGTGCTTTTATAATGTGCCTTTTTGTTTTCAATTCTTAATATAAATGAACAATATTTTAAAATGGAGCCAATAAAAGTAACAGATTGCAGAAATGAGGTCTCCCTGTTGTGTGCTATGATTGTGCGGAGCGGTTACTCTCCAATATTGTAAATGATTAAGTTTTAACTTTAATTTCAGGTCTGCCTTCAAAAATTAATTTTTAGCTCAGTGGCAACTTTCTGGTTAGATGAAGGCTAAATAAATGCATAACATTGTCTAAAATGGATAAATGCATTGAATGTAGCTATCCATCCATTGTCTAACACCTTTGTGCCTAGTGGAGTCGGGAGGTGCTGGTGAACGTTATCTCCAGCTAACGTTCTGGCCGAGAGGCGGGGTCACCCTGGACAGGTCACCAGTCTGTCACAGGGCAACACAGAGGCAGACAGGACAAACAACCATACACACACTCACACCAAGGGAGAATTTAGAGAGACCAATTAACCTGATAGTCATGTTTTTGGACTGTGGGAGGAAGCCGGAGTACTCAGAGAAAACCCACGCATGCACAGGGAGAACATAGCTATATTTGTAAAACACCATTTAAACTAAAATTTCATGAATACAGAGGATAAAACATTAGCTAATAAATTTACTAAAATATGATATAAACTAAAGACTATTATAATGACAGACAGCACGATGATTTATAGAAACAAGACCTCGTTTCTGACATGGCCCTTCATGCTAGCTGTCAGTGTGACTCATTGATGTGGTATATTTCTGTTGACAAAACAGCTTGATTGTTATCATCGGCTACAGCAATGTAGGCTGTCATGCTCTGCTGTTCCATTTGATACATCATCAATCCACAATATACTATTGAAGATTCTGTTTTAGAAACGAAAATATATATAAAGTCCATTGTTGTGTCAAAAAAGTGTGTTATAAATTCAACAATCTGCTTCAATAAAACAGTGAAAAGGCTTTTTGTCTATTATTAATGTGATTACTGTCAAGATTTGTACGTTTTCGAGCACCAAAAGATGATGAAATGTGCCCTTTTATAAGCCGTGCTGACAAAGAGGATGGTCTTTTGACCAGTAAAATAAAATAAATAAATAAAAATAGCAGTGCAACAATATTTTTGATATATTAGTGGAGTATTTGACCTGGTATGTTTTTCTTCACTTAATTATTAAATCCTCATTAGTCTTAATATGGTCTGCAGATTGATTTCGTATTCAATTATTTATTCACTTATTAAGAAGTTACTTTATAATCTATCTGTGAAGTAGAGAGTATAATTTATTTGTAATGAAACTAAATGTGAAAAAAGTGGAAGTGGTGTGATCCCTTTACATTGCCACTATTTATTTAAATTATGAAGTGATGTCATTAATGAAATCCCAACTTGAAAATATTCTATGTCTTCAAGACCCTATGGCAAAATAACTCAGGCCTTTTTTTTTTTACAATTTATGATTATGTCTCTAGGAAAATGTGACTTACAGCAGTATTTTCCCCTCACTTCTTCTTGTCTTACATTTCCACACTTAAACACACCTGGCTGACATGAATGGGCTACAGCTTGATGAAGAGCTGATGTGCTGACCCATTTTACTGAATATTGTGTGAGGGAGTAGGAAAACACAGAATACAGTTGGATGGGCTGAAAATTAAACCTCAGGGTTAAGTATTGCATCATTCAAAAACAGGAGTTAAAATGTATTTATTAACATGTTAGCGTGGGAATGGCAAATGTATGATATTTTCTTTCAAGAAAACAAGTAATTGCACTAGGATTCAGTCTTTGCACACAAAATGTGTTGTGTGTGAATGTTTATTAATTTGACAAGTAAACCTGAGATGAAGTTTTAAAGTCAGTGAAGCATCATTTACATCAAAACAAGCCTTGTTAATATCGTCAATCAAAAGTTTATTGTTCTCTACCTTCTCTGCAGACGCAGGAGCCGTCGACTGGAGAGCAAGATGCTTGGTTGTGGCAGGAGCAGGTGGACATGCAGCTTGGCCCAAATAGACCAGGTGGACACATTGTGGCACAGTCCTCACCCTGTGGAGGAAATAATGCTTATTCAGGCAATTCAGGGAAAAAATAAATAAATAAATAAATAAATGAATAAACTATTATAAACAGTTAGAAACAGCAGGACAAAGAGGTTTATCTGGGTTATCTGTTTACCCAGGCTGATCATACTGTATCATGTGCAAAGAAAACGAGAAAGCCGTCTGTAAATTTAAAGTAAAGGTAAAAGGGAAAGACCACACTTGATCACTTCCAAGCAATCATTTTTAAGCTTCCAATTACCCACTCTATATATTCTGACAGCACCTTCCCCCAGCCATGCTTTTTGCTTTCCTACTTCACCCCATCTCTCAATTTTTCCCCACATCTCTCTTTATACAAGTCTCATCGCTTTTCAACTGTGAGCCTGGCAAGACTCCAAAGGCCTGGGAATCCACACTTCTCATCCATCCCTCAGCAGGCAAGCAATGATTAAATCTTCAATCTTCCCCTCTTCACTTCATTAGTACAACTAGTTCTGTTCTCAGTACACTTCCTATTACATAAGTTGCCGTCTATGTCTTGTGCCATGACCAGTGGAGGATATAGTGTATTTCCTGACATCCACTCTGCAAAGAAATGTTTAATATCCCACATACTGTGATTGACCCAAACCAAATCAAGAGATCACCAGGATGTAAACAGCTTTTCTATTTTGCAATAAACTAAATATAAGTACTTAAAACTTTCTCTGGTTATTGAAATAGAATAAGATATAAACAGAAGGTGGCATCACATGAAGCTTCATTTCGTATGGAAAATTAGGAAAATATGTTTAAGGGAAGTTTTGACCATTCCTCCAGAAGTGGATATGTATGGTTATAAACAAATTTCACATTATATGTGCAATTTGATTTTGAGGTATCAAACTTGAAATGCTTGACTTGGAAAAAGAGTGACTAAATAAGCACAAGCAAACATTTGACTATTTGTAATCTTACATAAAAAGTCAAAGGAAAAAAACTTTCCCCCGAGTAATTATAAAAAACTTATTAGATTTTCTTTTCTCGTTTGTGTTTTTATTTGCCTAGTTTCCCCCGTGTCCAAAGTACACATCGTAAAACTTGCAGTGATGACCTGCAATGGAAAGGAGAAAGCAAAACTGTCTACTTCTTCATTAGAAACACTGTGGGGTTTACAAGAGGTGAGAAAGTCAATGCAAGAGATTTCGGCCCACAGTGAAAATAGAAAACAATAGACTAAAAGCCAAACAGCTAGATTCCAGTAGGGGGAGAACATAATCTTATACTTATCTGTGACACATTGCGAGCAGGACTCACTCTTCTATTAATGAGAACACCAATGAAAGATCAGCACTAATATCCTTACGTTTCTTGTTCTTGCATTAGAGAAATTATTTGGTAAAGGACAAAAGGACTCATTATATGTCCTCTGCAAGCTCCATTAGAGTTTTTTTCTGCTTTACAGGCTGAGAGCAACCCACCTCGACCAGTTTCGTCCCTCCCTCAGCTGGAGATCACAGCCACTGTACGGGCTCCCACAGTCTCCCTTTCAAAACCATGGATTGAGTGACAGGTGACACAATGATTTAGAGTTCCAATTAGAGGCCCAGAGGAGTCCTGAGTGGATCTTGCTTTGCTCACCAGAGAGCTGGGGGACTGCTGGCTGCTCACTGCTCTCATTATCATTTTGAACTCAGCTTAAACAGGAGGCAGGAGGAGATGTGCCAGTGGACGCCAGGGGCAGAACACACATCTTATAAAGTCGCTCCCTCCGTACACCACATAAAAGCATCTGTCTGTGAATGAAATTTTTATCAATCGGTTGCAATAACCTTTGTTCTGCTGAAAGTGACAGCTTCGAGACTGCTAACAATAGCAGTTCCGTTGCAGTTGTTAAGCGTGAAGAAGTTTGAGCGGCTGGCAGGGGGGGAAGTTAGATAGAGGGTGAGAGGGGGATGGGCGGAGGTTTTAGGCTTCAGCCCTTCCTCAGAATAAAGGCAATTTACTGGTGACTGGACTCATGGATAAAATGATACCCAGCCACAAATGGCCACATGGATTCCATGTAGTTTCTCCCTCATGGTGCAGTAACCAGACCACTTGGCCTGTTCTCCACAGTGGAAAGACACTACTCTCATTAGTTGTCTGATTCACATTTGTTCAAGGAGGGGAGGGATAGGGGTCTGAATTTGAATTAACACACAGGCTGTCAGTCTTTGGTACGAGAGCAGAAAAATCTTATATAACACAGCTTAAAGTTAGTATCCAGAGCCTTTAGAAAACACTAGCAGGTGAATGTCAACTATGTGACCAGAAAAGGCTTTTTTCCTCTAGAAACCTTTTTATGAGATCCTGGACCAAAGTTGAGTCTGTTCACACTGTAGAGTTCAAAATTGTGCTGTTTATGGTAATTATGTCCTACTGCAGTCGTGTTGCAGATCAAATGATCTGGGGACACAGGTCTCCCACTGCAATTGAAGAGTTCAGAATGTGATGGAAAAAACAAAAATATTTCAGCATAACAGAGGTATTAATCTCTGCTATGGTTTTCAAGTCAAGTGCTGTCACTCCAAAGTTTACACAAGAGAGATTGTGTAGACTCTCATTGTACAGATTATGACTCCTGACTCTTTGAAAGACAAAGCAAAAAATGTCAGGTTGCCAGAAAAAGCCATGATTATCAGTGATAACACTATAAGCAATGTTCAAAGACCCAAGAGATGACACTTTATAAATAATGTAGTCACTCCACACCTTGTACGCTAAATTTTATTCTTCATGGTCAGCTGATGTGTAAGTTTGAAAATGCCCACAGCAAGACAAAAATTATAGCAAATATAACATATCCATCCTGACGCAGTTAAATATCTAGAATTTCAACTTTTGAACTAATCCTTAAATACACACTATTTAATCTGGGAATGCATCAAAGATGTGACAGGACTTGATAGACTTGACTAGGAAACAACATGACATCAGCCTTACCGTAAAGCTTGTAGATATTAATTTTTTTTTTCCCCCAATGCAGAAATGTATCTTGATGTGAAATGAGAGAAGAAAAAGCTCTTTTGAGACTTGCAGCTTAATTTTAGCCGAAGTATAGTTATTTCACAGCAGGTGCAATTTACAACAGAATTAAAATCACATCTAACTTAAAGGAATTTTATGGCATCAACACATTTTAATGAGTAGAGTTTTTGAATCAAAACACAGGGGAAGGATAACAGCACACTGCTTCTTAAACTTACAATTGGTTGATGATAAAGAATTCTGCAGAGTAGTGACTGTTTTAATTTGTACTTCAGAAAATAAATGCGGCAAAGCTTTCTTTCATTATCAGTTTAAGTCCCTAAAAAAATTGCTTTACTAGAATGTTTACTCTTTACGTCTCCACAGAGGCTGGAAGCAGAAGCCTAGACTTTATTTATTTAGTTAAATCAATATTTCCACTAATATGTGTTGGCTTTATAAATGTATTTGAAATGTACTCTATAAAAATATTACCACATTTAATTTGAATTGCTGGGTTTCAAGTTTGTTTATGCAAAGAAACATATTATTTACTCTTGTGTCATAATTTAAAGTTGACAGAAAATGTGAACTGTAGGGATTGACTGAAACAAAATTATAAGATCACTGAAATTCAGAGATGTTTAGTCCACAGCATGACAAAACTCCAGCTTTGGTTCAGGGTACGTTCAGAAAAGACTACCTCCCTAAACCATGTTTTGAGGTTGGTTTCTCTGCTGATAATCCGATTTGGCCATGGCTCCTGCAGTGGAAATAAAAAGGGTGAAAGAATGTCACCGGAAAACTATCCTGGCCTCTGGAAAAAGATTCCTGCAGCAGAAACACACCCAGATTGCCCTTAGCCACAGCAGTAAATTTGTACCTATTAGTATTTTAATGTAATTGGAGTACTTCTTTTTCAGAAAGCCTTTACCTGACACAACATTGATTAGGCTTTTATCCACCGAGACCTGATGCAAATGGCACCACTAATTACCAATCAGTTTCACTCCTTAGCGGTGCCTCTACCTGCTGGACATGTGAATCCAGAGTAAATTTATTGCAGCACAACAGAGAGGGAGCCACGATGAGATTCGGGAATGGGATTTAGTTTCTCCATTTACAAAGGAAAACTTTGAATAGATTCCTAAAGCTTTCCTGTTTCAAGTGAGGACAAGGCACGTAGAAACTGCATGTTACAATCTACAGTGCTTGCACTGTAGATTGTAAGGGACAGTGCCTGAATAGGTAACATGTAATCACTTTGTCTGAGCCAAAAAGAGCATGTCCAATTACCAGGACTAAATCAAGCGTGCCGGTGCTCAGTCTGTTCCAACACTTTGCTTGGTTTGCCCCCCGATGGGACTCCAGAACAAAAGAATGCAGAGGGGAGGCTTAATCTTATAAGCGATCCCCAGAGGAAGTGACTTGTCTGGCAATCATAGCCTCAACACCATCATCAGCCACGTTTTAACAGGTTCACCTCATAATAATCATGAATATGACGCAAACGGGCAGCAGCTACAGACCTCTAAAAGCACAACAATATGTTTCAATGCTTTGCAAAGCAGCAGCTTTGTTAAAAGTACCAGAAAAACACAATGAACATTCACCTCCCCACTCCCCGCACATAAACACACAAATTCTCCATATGAGCTGCGTCTGTTCCCTTCTGACTGCCTCCTTTTCTATCCAGCGTCTGCCCTCTAGGTCTGTTTAATGGATCTGGCAGCCCTTCCCAGCAGCCGCCACAGTGAACAGGTGGAGCAAATTAAGACACAGTCTGGAGCCCCGCTCGGTAGCTCAATTCACCACAGAGGCTCGCTGTAAGACACAGGCAATTTCCACTGAAATGTAACATTGGCAGACGTGTACTCTCCTGGTCTCTGTTGTTCCGTAACTTCAGATTGCAAAACACAAAATACAATGGCAAAACTGATTGGAGTTACTGAACTAATTTGACATTTGTAAAAAGGGGACAATATGGCTGCAGGAAAAAAGGACTAAAAACAGAACTGACCAAAGATCAACTTTTCCTTCCAAGGTACAAAAACACAGATCGAAGCTTGCTCTGTTCTCGTTTCTTTCACCCTTCATAAATTCAGTCCTATTTGTAAAATTACACAACTACTCACACAGGGTCACAAATGAGACTGAATTATAGTTGACCCATGCCCAACGGTAGAACAAAGTGTATCTATAATAACACAAAAAAATACTTTCACCTTGATTTTAACAGTCTGTATACAAGAAGCTCCTAAAGAAAAACTGGGACCACTTCCAAAATATTTCTGCCTCAATTACTTTTTTTCACAGTAGCCACAAATAACATGCAACATAAATTAAACTTACAACCTTCAGAACTAAAACTTACAAAGTACAAGGATAAGACTTTAGGGCATGCAATGGGAGATCCCGTTTCCTGCCTAGCAACCATTTTTTAAATGTTTTAAAGAGGTTGTGATCAAGCATTATTCCGGATTTAAAAAAGCTTTTGATAACTTTAAGTGTAAATATGAAATTAATAAAACTAAAGGTATTATATTGCTTGTTTTTCTTTCTTATATTATTAAGCATCTATTTTATATTTGGAAAATTTTACCTAAGTTGCTTGTTTGACTCATATTGCCAGGTTGACTCAAAGACTGTTTTGAAGAAACCAGCTGAGGGTCAAAGTGAAAGTATGGTAAGAGGAAGTGTCAAATCAGTAGAAAATAAACAGTAATCTGTTAATAATAAGCAGTGCTTCAGGATCACAGAGCTCACCATGAAGCCAGGAGCGCAGGTACAGATCCCTGTGACAGGATGACAGTCAGCTCCATTGGTGCAGCTGCAAAGCAGAAAGCATCCTTCTCCATAGAATCCAGGAGGGCAGGTCTCATTGCAGTAAAGCCCTGTCCACCCTGGTGAGCACGTGCATTCACCAGATAGTGGGTGGCAGCTACAAATAAATCCAAACGAGAGGAATAGAAGATAAAGGTAAGAAAAGTAAGCACCAAAGCGATCAGCTCTTCATATTTAAGCAGGATCAAAGTACGATGCCTGCAGCAACAGTAGACTGTGTGCTTGTTTCAGATAAATGAAGTGTCCCTTTTCTCCTTCATTCAGTAATGACTTCTATGGCTGATGCCCAGCTCCTGCTGGAATCAGAGCATTAGCACTACATTAACTATGAATGTTGCTGAGGAATTATGAATGAAGCAAAGGTCGCGATTAAAAGCTAACTGGATGACATGGCTGCGATGTCTACAGACTTCGGAATGACCACTGGCTTTAAGGTAAGTCGAGATGAAATTAAGTCACTGAGGTCCTTATTCACTTGAAATTATTCAAAAGACAATATGTGTTGCCTTCATTAAAAGCCTTCAGTAAAAGTAGCCAAATTTGAAGCAAGAAATTGAAGCAAGATAAAAAAAAAATTAACAGTTCCAAAGAGATAGAGCAGAAACTGGCTTTATCTCCCTTATGCTTGTGATGGGATCAAGGGAAATGTATAAATTAATTTGTTTGTTGATCTGGGAGCTCTGGGGTGTAGATGGTAATTGACAGGGTTAGTAATAATGGGACTTGCTTATTTAAGATGTTAAATACAATTAGAAGCGTCCTAAAATGAACGCAAAGAAGCTAAGGTGATGTGGTCCTGTTATTCTGTACCAGTAGGAAATTCATGGAGAAGCACTGTGAACAAGCTGCAGGCATGATAACTGAGACCGAGGAAGCACCAGGTATAAAGAATTGATGTAATCTGACTATGAGGTAATGAAAGTGAGGAATTTTAGTTTGTGATTATTTTTAGTTAGTGAGGAATGTTTTAAAGTCTGTATTGATCTCTTTCTTTTAATGAAGATCTGAATCTAAAATAACTCCCTAAGCATGAGGCATAACATGCAGGGTGAAATGAGCATAAGGCAATGATGTGAACTAAAGAAATGATCTGATTTTTTTCATCATCCAGTTGAAGGAAGTTACTTTCCATTTATGATATTATGTGATTCAAGCAAATAAGTGGTTGAACTCAATTTTTTTTTTATGAATTGTTCTTTCTGATTGTATTTCTGAGTGGGCCCAAAAAGAACCCCCTGTGTATAAGTGTTGCCATGCACCGAGGTTATCACTTACCTCACAGTGTTGGTGGTATTACAAGGGCAGTACTTGTCACAGATGAGGCCATAAAGGCCCGAAGGACAGAATCTCTCTTGACAATTAGGGCCTTTAAAGCCTGTTTCACACAGACAAGCTCCATTGATGTGGTGACACTTTGCACCGTTTTGACACTCACACCTTTGGTTGCACTGTGGACCATAGGTGCCCACAGGACAGTCTTCTTGACATCTGAAGCAAAGTTGCACAGAAATGACACTAAAATGCTGCACAGGGAGAGGATAAAAAATGATCAATAGTAACTTATAAAATAAATAATTTAGCCCAGTGCCAAGCAAAAATTTTTAAAATTAAACACTTCAGTGGCTATTTTATATTTAAGTAAGACTCTAGCTTTAATAACCACATTTATTATTAACACTTCAACATTCAAAATATGGCTGTGCGCTTTAAAAGACCTAGACTAGCATGGTCAATTTTCTTCAAGTACTTTTCACAAAATCCCTAAAAGTAGAGCCTGCTGCGAACACCTTTGTGTCTCTGCAGGGGCTCGATGAGACTTGGCAGACACCGTCATGCAGGCAAATTTAAATAAGTTGAGAGTTTTTCCCAACATGAAGAACTGAACCAGATCAGAAAATTGATTTTTGTCCTCTTCTCACTTCTTTTTACAGTATTAGTAGGTTATCGGTCTCAGGAGTTGAAGAAAGCTGTTGCAAATAGTCTAATTGCTTTAAGAAAATGTTCAAGCCATGCTTCGTGTTTGAATTTCCTCAGTTTAGTAATATCAGGGGACAATTGAAATATTATACTTGACAGAAGAGGCTGGGGGGAGGAAGGGGAGGGGGTTAACACAATCTCAGATTATTCCTGGCAGGTTCATTCACCTGCCACTGACAAAATGAATGAGGGCAATTTTGTAAAATAATAAAGTAAAAGAAAGGTCTTGTAAAGAAGGTGTTTCCATCAAAGAGACAATTGCTTTACTCAAACTAATAAACGTGGGCTGCCCTGGGCCTCTCCAGCAGGCATGGGAAACTAAAAAGATCTGTGTATGTTGATGAGGCCTTAATATAAGTCCATTACTTATAATTAATGAGCAGAACCCAAACAGCATATAGCCCATGGTGAGATCAATGGACAGGCTGGGAGGAGTGAATGTGGATGAGGTCTCCAGACATGAAACCTTTCTGGCCAGGATGCAGTACAAGATTAATTAGGCATAAACACCCCTATTAAAAGCTTCCAGTGCACTTTCAGATGGAGTAATGGATGTTAATAAATGCTCATTTCTCCTGAGAGAAAGATTTTATAGCTTTACCTTTATCTTTTAAAACAGAAGCCAGATTTATGCCTCATTTGGAAATTAACAATGGGGATAGGTCAATGAGTGTCTGTTTAAACTCATCGTTTTGCGTCAGATCAAAATATTAATAAACCATGTCATTGTCTGACCTATGGTTTAAAGCACAAGTGAGAAGGTTTGCGCTGAGTAATTCCCAGAACGACAAATGAATGATGTGTTTAGGCATCGGCTTGTTTACCTGCGTCCACTGAATCCAGCTGTACACTGGCACTTTCCAGTGACATGGTCGCACAGGCCGCCATTGCGACAGGAACAGTCTTTACTACAGTTGGTGCCGTATTTGCCCAGAGGGCACGGCTGAGCGCAGACCAAACCCTTTAAAGGACAAGACTATATAAATACCACAGGAGAAACTCTGAACGCAAACAGTCAAAGTCTGCAGATATGTATGCAACTACTGTCAAATACACTGACACTGTATGGCACCCATGGTATATATCAAATTTAAATATAGCATGATCTGGGAAAGAGGTATTATATGGCCATAAAAACAATAATAAAAACACTAATTACAACAACATTTGCATCATTCATTTTAGGCTTTACTAACTGTGTAGTAATTGAAGCACAAGGATGTTGTAAAAGCAATTATTTTTTTATCATGGGGTTTTTTTCTACACTGCAAAAATGTAATTTCTGACAATAAAAGAAGAAACATATTTATCAAGGGTTGTGTAAAAGATTATCATCCAACATAACTTAAAAATGCATAGAAAAATATTCTTTTTTTTCTTTTATGAAGAAACACAAAGGTAGTCTTAAACATAAGCCCAATGACATTCAATGATTGTCTTCTCTGAGGCATTTCTCTTTTATTACATTTTGCTCTTTTTGTGACCTACCGTCCAACCAGCAGGGCAGGAGCAGTCTCCAGTAATGTGGTGACATGTTCCTCCATTTTGACAGGGGCAACGCTGCTCACACTGCGGTCCATGGCTGCCGGAGGGGCACCGCTCCCCGCAGCTGCCACCACACACGTCAGGCATCAAATCCCGTAATGTACGGCAATATTTTGTCTCAGAAAGCAGCAAAGAAGCAAGTGTGTTTTTGGTACTCACAAAGCTCCTGTGTATCCTGATGCACAGATGCACTCCCCTGTTTCATGGTCACACGTGGCACCGTTGAGACACTGGCAGGGCAGCAAGCACCCCTTGCCATAGTAACCATTCTCACACAAGTCCTCGCAACGCCACCCCTGGTACCCATCAGTGCACACACAAGCCCCTGTTATAGGGTTACACTTAGCCCCATTTCGGCACTGGCAACGATTACTGCAGTGAGGTCCCCAGAAGTCACTCTCACAGCCTGAGGGCACAAAAATAAAAGGGATTAAAAAGGTCAAATATCAAAACAATTAAAAAATATATATATAATCTATTTGTTCTTGAAATCACAGTGGTCATTTTAAAGAAAGAAAAGTAATTAAATTATTCATTAATATTCTCCTTAAAAGATTAAATAGCTCATTATAAATAATAAATGTCAAGAAATGAATCTACTCAACCAGTTTTTATTTCAAGTTCAACTTCTGTAATTATATTCTAATAAATACAAGCGTGAAAAGCCTGGTTTTTATCTTATGTTTTACATAAAAACATAAGATCTATGATATGTGTGCATATAAGGAATTATATGCTTGAATTGAAGCTAAAATTTTATCCACGTATTTGTGGATAAAATTTCAGTTCAGCTTAGTGAGGACTTTAATTTATATGTTAGGCCTCTGTGTTTCACCTCATTTAAGCTTGACCAGCTTACTTTTACTTTGCTTTATATGCAATTAATTGGAGTATCAAACTCCAATCCTTAAAACTGTGACACTACACTTAAGTTTCTATTGTAGACTATCAGAATAAACAGAGCTATGAAATAACTTTATTAAAAACCATTTCTTCCATGACAACTTTGTAATTCATCCTGACTACAAGGAAGTGAAAGAGAGCAAAAGGTTTGGCAGAAAGAAATGCAAAGTAGAATTTATTACATGTGTCTAGTAGAAATGGTGGTCCTCTTAGAAATCTCAGAAGTTGGGAAATGTTCCATATTATTTAGAGAATACACACAAAGGTGGTTTTCCTAGCCATGCTAACTGCTAATGTAAGATGCTGGACAACTTAATGCAAGTTTTGTAATCAATTGTCTCTGCTTAAAATAGTCAGAAAACCCTATTTTACAGAGACTGTTTTCAGATACACACCGCATACCTTCAGATCTGCTCTCAATATAAATAAATAAAAACTAACATATGTTCAATGCTATTTTTTTGTCTTATTAAAACAAGCTTGCTGCAGAATTACAGTTCCTGCAGAGTGGCTGGAATTGGACAAAATGTGTCCAATTCCTACTGTCAACCTGTCCAGGGTGTACCCCGCCTCTCACCCAATGATTGTTGGAGGTGGCCACTATCCCCCCTGTGACCATGCAAGGACAAGACAATGGATGGAAGACCCATTCCATTCAAAGCGTTTTAAAAAACAGAAATCAGCAACAATATTGTGACCAGTGCATCCCTGCTTACTGACTGACAGTGCGGAAACGTTTAGCCAGAATTAACACCTAGATGAGGCCACAGTCGAGTATATGGTCCATGACAACTATGCAAAGTGTTTGGAAGTGTAAGCACCAGTAAACAGCAAAAATTGTCCATCTGCCTGTAAAACGATTAAGCTATAATAAGGCGTTATGTAGAGCTCACTGACATTGCCTAATAGTACATGAGGGAATGCTGTAAAACAAACTCCTTCCACCGGGAATTGGTCTGTTTACAAAAACTCAATAAAATCTATAACTCCAAGCAAACTACTAATTTTCAAGGTTAAATGAGCAACGGCCTCCTTAGTGATGAACAATCAGCTCTGAGATGGGTTTGAGGACAGTGCTCACTCCCACCAGGGTAATTGCTCTTTTGAGAAGCTCTATGATTTACGTGATTGTTCTAGCTTTATGTCTCTCCATCAGTAGCCGCATTACCAGCAATGTATTGCTTCACATAGAAGCCCAGCTTGAAATCCTAACCAGCACAACAGAGAGAGAAGCAAATACTCAATCATCGATTCCCACATCATTGCAGCCTCAGTTGTAAATGTAAAGACACTTCTCCCCACCTCCTCGTATGCTCGCTTTGCCAAAGCTGTGATCAGTCAGAGTAGGAGCCTAATGAACCCTCTTTCATGGAAGGCACTGAAGCCTGTTTTTTCCAGGTACACAGCAGGACGATGATCAACCCTTCCCTGATGCGGACAGGTCCGCTCCGAAGGGGGTCTCTAAACACCGGGCAAGTGCAGTTTTACTTCAGCCGGCTGGACAGACCAGAGGCTGCATTACAAGGCTCACACTGATTTTGATCTAATCTGCTCCTGGCCTGCATTTTGCCATGAATGAGCTCCCTGAAGGCTGAGCTGCTGCCACGCAAACGACCCTGGCACATTAAATCTGAGGTGTGTTTGGGCAGTTGTGGAAATGGATGAGCAGCTTAGCTGCAATTCTGTTTAGCGGTCTATAAGCACTCATCAGTGTTCCCTAAGCACATCAGAAAAATAGGCAGGCCACATAACTAGAGGCATCATGACTAATGTTCTCAACCCAAATCTGGATCACAATAACATTGAGGGGCATTTTGTACTCTCACATATACAATGCCTTGCAAAAGTAGATTCTCTATATTTCGTCTCTTTGTTCCAAAACAGACAAAAGTTAGAAGGAATTGTGAAGGAAAAGTAAAATAACACACGTATTTTGAAACGTTTAATAAATAACAATTTGGAACAAGTGGTTTGAGTTCATATTTAACTCTCTTTACTACCCCTAAACAAAATACAGTTCAAAAGTCACTTTGAACAGTGTGCAACTTACAAACACCTTATTGAAAACTAACGGGTCAAGGATAAGGTTGTTGAGAAATTTAAAATAGGTTCAGGTTAGAAAATAGTATTGTAAGACTGACAATCTCACTAAGTACTGTCTCATGTGTGGGCCAAATGCAAACCCGTCAAAGCTGACAGGTTAGGCATAGGGAGTAGTAATAAGAAAAGCAGCCAAGAGGCCCACAGTAACTGTGGTGGAGTGGCAGAGTTCCAAACTCAGCTGTGACAATCTGTGGACAGGGCAGCTGTTGGTCTTGATTCTACGAATTTGGCCTGCAGTCTGTCAAAAGTAAAAGCAAGAATAACAAGAACAGGTTTTTTTGTTGTTGTTTTTTTTTTGAAGAAAATCATTCCTCACGGCTGCTCGTGAACTTTTACAGGGCGACGATCGAGAGCGTCCTCTGCCTCAACGTGACTGTGTGGTATGGTGGCTGCACAGCACTGGAGAGGAAACAACTGACACGGGTGGTGAGAACAGCACAAGGCATTGTGGGATGCCCCCTCCCGGACCTGGACTCTATTTACATGGGCCGGGTCAAGAAGAGAGCTGGATCCATAGCCATGGATTCCAGCCACCCGGGCCACAGACTGTTTGTGCCGCTGCCATCAGGCAAGCGGTTCAGGAATATACGGACTACAACAAACAGACTGAGAAACAGTTTCTTCCCCACAGCCGTCAGAGCCATTACTCCCTGCCGCCCCCTCCCACACATATCATAACCTCACATACCCCCCACCCCACACACAGCCATTGCACTTGCACTGTCACATCATCTGCACTTTACCATAATTGGACCTGCTGCTTCTTCTTTGGTGTGGTTGAGTGCCTTTAGTTAATTTCAGTTGTATATATTATTATTGTGTGTTTGTTTATTTAATATTGTATATTTTGACTTTTTGCACGGGAGTTGCAATAGAAATTTCGTTGAATCCTGTTCAATGACAATAAATGCTATTCTATTCTATTCTATTCTATTCTATTCTATTCTATTCTATTAACTGTGTGGTGTTTGCACTTTGACACTAGCCATGTGGGGGACAAACCAAATGTGAAAATTAAAACTGAACTAATTGGCCTATTTGCAAAATTGTACTTGCAGCAGAAAACTAACATTGCGCATAAAACACACTCTCTCTATGGGGAACATTAGGTTAGCAGCGCCATGCTGTGGGGCTAATTTCCTTTAGCAGAGAGAAGGAAACTGGTCAAAGTTGGTGGGAAGAACAATGGAGCTCTATCTATGGTGCAATCCTGCAAGAAACCTGATAGCAAACACCTTAAAACAGTAATGGAGGTCCTAATACAGATGTTTACATGCAAAATGATTACCGTCTCTTTGAACAATGGGCAGAGCTTTGGAGACCTCTGATAGGTTAATTGACATATTTGAGTTAGTTGGAGGAATAATTGCCTCCGATTAACTCATGGATGTATTTAATGTCACAGCTGAAACACACTGGTTTCTGGTTTGGCGTGATTGGAAAGTCGAAAGAAATCAGCCAAGATATAAAAAAAAAAAAAAAAAGATTTGTGATATCTGCATCATCTATGGGAACAATTTCTAGATCAGATGCTGTATTAAACTGTTCCAAAAATATATGCAAGTAGTAATTTCACAGTAAAAGCTTCAAAAAATACTTTAATGCCACAATTTCTTCCCATATAACCCATTGCTTGACGAGCAAGTCCCAGGCGAGCAGGATCACATTACAGCCAATAGAAAGATTTTATAAGTAGACTTTGAAAACTCTGGATAAAAAAAAAAAAAAATCCAACTCATATCATCATTGTAAAATATTAAGCAAGTATAAATTTCTGAGTTGAGATAATATTATCACCTATTCAGATACTTACATACAAAGTGCTTCATTGAGTGGGCCCACCACCTTTAAAGTATTTTGATCAATTACAATGAAATATAACCACAACACCAGCTAGTAGAGAGGATTGCAAAATATCAGTCTGGAAATCTCTTTTGGTCATTCATGTTTTAAAAGCCCTTCACTGTTATGAGGACACCGGTGGCTAATACGCCGACTAACATTTGGGGTGACAGTTAAGGTGTTAAATTAAAATATCTGAATTAACAAATGCCTTGTTTGTTTTCATGAGTGTGAAATGGTTATTATAAATGCCAACTTGTACACCTAAAAACCATTTCTTATCACTGATATGTTACATGTGAATCAATTGTTTTTAATTTATTAACCTGCCGATGGACAGATGACAGATGAAAACTAGCCCTTGCTGCCATATTTACATGGTTGTCTTAATATACTCATGATGATTAATATGCATTGTCCCTTATGGAATAAACTGAAATTGGGAACGGCTCCAGAGACAGATTTTGTTTTTCTGAAATGAATGTACTTGGTTTGGTCCAAAATGTGGATGCTTGTGCCATTCTAAATGTTGAAGTATGGGGCGGCAGTATCATGTTG